GCTGCCCGTCTTCACCAGGGATACGACAATGTGTCATAGTTGATGGAAGGGTGGATGGGGCAAAATACACAACAATCTGGGAAGAAAAGCTGCAAAAGCTATGTAGTGGATGTTTACCTTCCATCCGAGAATCTCCTTAAACTTAAAGACAGTTTTACAAAGGAAGGATTCAAAACATATTCATGTGTTAGAATGGCCCAGTCAAAGTGCAGGCCTCACTATTGTGGTAATTACAGCCCTGCGGAGTCATAGAACTTCCTCACAGCATGTTTAAATCTATCCATAGATCCATCTATCTCGTGATTCACATGAAGGAGATGTGAGGTATATATGTATGTCTGCGTTTCACCCCGGCCTGTCCCCCATGACCTCACCACTAAAGCAGCTACTGATGGAGATCCCCATGTCTAGTGTTTATCCCTGTTCCGCTCTCTCACTTGTACACACACACAAACACACGCACACACACGCAAAGACACAGACACAAGCACAGATGCAGACACACGCACACAAAGATGCAGACACACGCACAGACACAAGTACAGACGCAGACACACACAAAGACGCAGACACAGACAAAAACACACACACACAAGCAAGCACAGACGCAGGCGCGCACACACACACAGACACAAGCACAGACACAGACACACACACAGACACAGGCACAGGCATAGACGCAGACACACGCACACCCACACACACAGGCATAGACGCAGACACACGCACGCACAGACACACACACACACACACACACACACACACACACACACATTGTTCCTCTCACTTCTCAGACACTGGTCCTGGTCTGTGCCCCGTGCTCTGGCTGTGGAGGTGTGAGTGTGCCCAGTCACAGGGACCTCTCCATCTGTGACTCAGCGACTGGACTCAGTTCAGTCGGGCTGCCACTTGTAGAGCAGCAGCAGAACTTCAAATATAGAAATCAATGAGGTGGTGGAACTGCTCATAACTCACAGAGTAACACATCCATCCCATGATGTCACTGTCGCTATATTGGCCCAATGATGAAACACTGACCCACAGGACATTGTCTCGCACTTCACTGTGTAGACTTCAACACTCAGCATCAATATGTGGAGCATTTTACAACAACACGCTCAGTTTGTTCTTATGTCAGATTTTTAAACAGTCCAAATTATTACATTATTATTCCAATACAGAAACAATATATAATTCCATTTTAATGTTCAAGTTACTTTATAGTCGCCACCGGAGTTTAAAATGCATTGAATTGATTATAAAAACATAATGATAAATTCCTAATGTTGGCACATGCTTGTGTATTGTTAAGGATGCTAAAACAAAATGTGCAAAACCAAATTTCAACACACTTCAGGCATGTGGTTCAGACACCACATAAGTTACCACTACCTGTGAGTAGCCACAATGTGAAACATGTCTTTCACAAAGACACAAACTCTGTAAGCAGATCTACTATAGTTTCCTAAGGGCAGGTTCACAAATATGATGTTGTTCAAGACAGATGCGTTAAAATGACTGGAAACATCTTTGGCTTTAAGGATTAACATAAAGCAATAAATGGTTTAGCAGGTCATAGGCAGCTGTGGCATTACATCCTGGTAAGAGGTGGGTAAAGCTGTTGCAGGGTGGGGGTCCGGATGGCTGGGTGACTCAGGTCTGTCTGAATGACTACAGCAAGACACACGCTGTGACACATTCATGCAAACAGCTGAAGAACAGAGACTGTAGGATTGTCATGCTGAATGAGAGACACTGGTCAGTACATGATCTGCATCTGCAGGCAAATAAGTGAAGGATGATTCAGAAACAGAGGCCTCGGACAAAAAGCACCGTAAGTTTGGTGAGTAAGAGAGGCATTTGTGAGACTGAAGACAGGACAAATGAATCAGGGATGAATAAAGAAGTCCTCGGAGGCTCAGGCAGATAATCTGAAACTTGATCAGCACACATGCAGCCACTCCCTCTGTGTCATCCGTACTTTTACACCTACTACATAACACTACCACCTTTTGATATACTAAATGCTACAATTACCAACAACAGTATGAATAGTATAGTCAACCTTTGCAAAATAATAGAAAGTTGGTATTAAAAATGTGACCGTAAAAGGAGCAGGCACCCTGTGTAGGCTGGCATTAAAGTTAACAACAGTGCATAAAAAGCTATAGTGACCTGCTGCACTTCCCTGTTTGTGAAAACTAAGACAAGATTGAGGACATTCACTCATCACTTACATTTATATAAGAGGAAGTTTAGAGGAAGCTGAACAATTTCAACTTGAGGTGTGCAGACTAATCTTTAATAATCTTAATTCAGGCTTTAATTAATAAATACAGCAGACTGTATGTATTCATTGTGTCTTTTTACAGGCAGAATGAGAAGAAAATATGTAAAAGCTGTTGGTTTGCATGCGGCTCCCGCCAAACACTGTCCAGAGACATGTCCTTTGTGCTGGTAATGAACTCTGCAGAGGTGGATTTCATGAGAAAGCTGTATTCTCATGGAGACATTGCTTCTGGTGCCTCCTCTCTGCATCTAAAGACTTTCTCCCTGAGATCCTGGCAGCGTTAGCACCTCCCCTGACAAACCAGACTGATGGATTTGTCAAGCACAAAACACTGATTTACCTACCCACAAATGCATATACATATACATATGCATACACATTTACATATGTATGTGTGTTTGTATATATGTGTGTATATATGCAACATGGCACAGCCAGTAGTAACACACATTCTATCCTATTTTTACTGACAAAGTAGTAGTGGACAGTTTGGTCCACCCCTAGACCAGCAGTGAATCACAAGAGCCCTCAGTCAATACCATAATGCCCTCTCCATGACTTATCTTTTATTGTGTATGCCATAAAGCTGATGAAAAAATTGCACAAACAGACTGTCTTGGCAATTTAGCTCAAACAAAGCAGATCAAAAGAAGAGAACAGGGCCCCATTTCTGGGCCCCACACAGTTTCATCAAATACAGAAAAGGTCCCTCTGCTCCATTATCTACAACGTCTCCAGCCAAAGGCCCCAAAATGTCGGGACAGAGAAAGGAAGGAATGAAACAGAAGCACTAAACAAACGTGGTTGTGAAACCTGTCACCATTTTGGGAGTTTAAGTGGTTTTGAGGAAAAACGTTAAACTGCAGATCTGGTTCAAATGGCTTCTAAGTGTAAGTATGAAGAGGTTTTAGCAGAAACATGTTTGAAGAAGCTTTTTGAGCATTAATGATAAACCAGGATCTGATTCACCACACAATCCCACTGGCTCAGCTTATCAGTGTTTTATTGCAACCTTCTGGCAAAGAAAAGCATTATTATCATCACCCTGACATACTATTGGGTAAATTAAAACTTTTATTGAGGGAGAAAACTCATGTTTGTTGCAAATATTTCATTGTAATAAATTACTAATTAACCTAAAAGCTGTGATCAGTCCTACTACATTTTATAATCACAATAAAACTGTATTTGAGGTGTAATATTTTATTGTATCTATTCAGTAATGAATAAGTAATAAATAACTGTTCCATGAGTCATAGGTATGACTGTGTGGGGATGAATGTATTTATTGCCACATTTACTTGTGTGTGTTGCAAAGCTCATATTTCCACCATGAGTCTGTGGGTCTCTCCCCATTTACTAAGCACGCAACGATAAAATGATAGCACAAAGAATAAATGGATTTCCAACCAAAACTAAGTCAGTTGAGGAGTAAAGTGTGTCAGTCAGAGCGGAACAGGAAGTTATTAGAGCAGTTGGATTATGTCATGTGAAATGATTGCTGCCAAAGTCCAACTGCTATCAGTAAAACATGTCACTGTGCCACGGTCACAAATACAACAGGAACTGATCACAGCCAATATAAAACGCAACAATACAACCAAGAAATACAATAATATTTGAGCGGTTACAACAAAACAAGTGATCAGTACAAATGAAATAGAATGTCAAACTTGGATTACTCAAATCTCTCTGTTCAAATGTGATCTGTGAGTAAGAATGAGAGAGAAAAAGGAGTAAAAGCTGGGCCCCCACAGGAAGGAAATTGACGGTTAATAGTTGTAAAGAGGGAAACTTCCTTTTGAGAAAGAAGAATAACCAATGATCGTGCCTAATGCAGCCCATTGAACTGTGGCGATAAACACACCGGCGTTTCACAAATCAAAGAGGAAACACTTGTAGTTGTGAAGAAATGGTGATGTTTCAGTATGGCATGTGTGTAAATGCAAGTATTAAGGAACGGAAATACCATGTGTCTTTAGGGCAATTCCCAATCAGCCCACGACAAGGTTCAATTAGCATATTCTGCTCTTAAATTGACTGTAAGATGTGAAAGTGTTCGTTGGTATTTCAATAAGATAATGATCACTATGAAGTAAACGTAAAGACATTTCTGAGAATTCTGTTTTAAAATGTTGGAGAAATAAAAAAACTATTATGCTCTATTGAGGGAATAAATAATTGGCTGGAGTCAAAAGAGTCTTATTGTCCCGTGAAACAGTCAGAACATGCCCGTGCCCATAGAAGATGCACAGTGGAACAATCCATTCCATTAATCATTTTCTAAAGCTATTATTCTGCCTAAAAAGAAACTGAGTGACAACAACATTGAGGACGACAGCAAAAGATCCCTTTGTGATGTGACCAGGGGCCCGACAAGCACATATCCTCTGCCATTTTGTTAAGGTTGTTTTGACATACTTAACACATTAATCTTGAATTTCAACTAATAACGTACGTGCCATTGTTTGAATATTTCCACAATGCGTTAATGATGATGAGTTAATGTTATTGATGTCTGTCCATGGGGGGGAGAATTGCTAGAGTCATTGGATATTGAAAACATGAATTTTTTGAAGGAGAAAAGGGTCCTCACAATCATCTTGAATTTCATGATTAGCCTCCTCCTTACAGAAAGTAACTAAGCTTCCCAAAGTAATAGTAAACCAGACTTGAGTCTCATTTAGTGCGATATGAAGCTCTTACTCACCCACAGCTCAGCAGTCCCCAGCCGCAGAGGACCATCTCTGTCTGGAATAAAACAAAAGTAGGATTATGTCCATGTAAGGTCAGGTACAGTGAGATCAGTCACTCTATAACCTCCGGCTTTACTGCTTAACTACTGCTGCAACTGAAAATTATGAATATCTAGATTACCTGAATTCTCGTAGGCTGTATGCAGACATGTTGTTGACTAAAGAAATTCTTGGTTGACCAACGACATTCCCTAATCGATTAGCTAGTTGGCAAATATTTAACATTTTTCGTAAAATCAGGGAATATAAATGTTTGTTACGTTTCAGATTTCAACAGCATTCAAGCTCAAATGTATTCACTTCACCAAGAGCTATTCAGAGGGAGGTCATACATGTTTAATGCAGACAAGTGCCAGGAAATGATGAATATTGTATAAAAAGTCACACTAATCTCATAACTGCCAAATCACTTTTTTATGATGTCCCATATTCTAACCTACTATTCTAGAACTGTAAATCTGTCAGAAAGGGCATACATTCTGAGTTCTAGAACAAAGTGTGTGTTTATGGTGTCTGAAGTAAAACTGACCTTTTACTGGATGATAACATGCAGACCACTATGTAATTATTCAATTAAAATTATGTAATTTATTTTAAGTGTCAATTTGACCGAATATTTCTCATTTTCAACTCTGTTTGGATTATCATGAAACAAGCTCATGAAATCCATATTATTGATATGGATTTAAACCAATACAAATGTATGTTTTTTATACAATGGTTAAAATCATAAACGCTTTAAGTCCTGAGCCACGTCATAAATAACAGAATATAGCTATGTCTGCAGAAGCTGAAGCCGTTAGTGGAAAAGGTAGAAGAGGGAGAGATGTGTCACTGCTACAGAGGGGGTCAGGCTCTGGCCCCTGCTTAGTCACCAGGAGACTCAAGTCCAGACCAGAGTCCTGAGCCGTAGGAACATGCCACCACCTCTCCACACACACATCAAACTCGCCTGGTATGCAAGTCTAAATAAAAACAAAAAAAAGCATTGCACACTGAACATGTAGAAATCCAGAATATTATTTAGTTGACGTTTTTACATCTACATTTTGTCTTTTTTGTTTTTGAAATTGTTCCTCTCACATTTGCACCACACCAAGCACTTTTTGATGTCCCTCTCTTTTTGAAATCTAGTTCTATCAACTGTTAATCTTGCATAGATTTGTTAAAGATAAAAATAACATAATTATCCATTATGAGTTACAGATATATGGGGCAACACTACACTACTGGAGTAAGCTGCTTCTAAAATAAATAATCAAGGGCACAAAAGTGTTTTTCTGGATGATATGATAAACACAAAGAGCTGCATAACTGCATCATCAATATTAGTAATTCCAGAGTTCCCCATACAGTAAGTGTAATTGTAAGTGACAGCGCAGAGAGCATTAACAAAGGCTAATTCTTTGAAAGTTTATGTAACACGTCAACTAGGTCATACTACTGTCTTTCAACATTAAAATGCTGCTGTTACAGATTAAGGTCGATTCATAAGATAATGTGGAAGAAGTAGTGTTACTAAAATGCATTTCTAACCAGTAATAAAAGTTAATTGTCTCGAGCGAGCACTGTGAACTCTGTTATACTCCTGTGCTGGGAAATGAAAGTGTCAGCTTTGACTCATCATGGGGATTGACTGATATTGATAATAACTGTTTAAAACACTATGAATAAAGTTACACTGATTTCACAGAAAAGGTTCCATGTTAAAGCACTGCTGATAGAGTTAATTTTTTACTGTAAAATCAAGGGACATTTAGCTTCCTCGGTCACACCTCCAATGTCTTTGTCCTACGTCCCGAGGGGCTTAAACATGAATTTCCATGACATCATGTCATCCTCTGAATAAAGCCCGTCTCCTCAGGGACAAAACACACCTGGAGCTCAGGGACAAATCTAAAACTTCAAAACCATCACTACTAAAATTACATGATCCCAGTGCAATATTCACTTCTCCCTCTGTTTTAGGGCACAGACAATGAGTAATTATTAGAGTACAGAAGTTGCTAGAGAGCTGGTTAAAAGATCCTTTTGGGAGCACAACTCGCAAGGGGCCAGTGGGACCTCTGTGTGTAATCAGCTTGTGTGTGGTGCGATGGTGGTGGGCCTCTTTTGACACCTCTTTTACCGCAGACAGATGAATTTCAGTTTTACAGAAGTGTGTCCCCCTATATTGCCTGCTTTCTCATAAAGAAGAAGTGGGCATATATAAATATTTAAATATATACATAGCTATGTATATTAACTTGTAACTGTAAACTGTGAGAAGATCTTGTCTGCTGAATATAAATGTATTTTCAAAGATAGTGATTCAAGAACAACGTTACTTTTGAGCTTCACAATTTGTACAGTACTGTAAAAAACACATGTGTAGTGTACTTTGACAGTGTACGAGAAGCGTAAATCCTGCAGACACAAAATGGTTGACTCCCCTTTTTTCTTTGGCAGCACAAAATGGCCTCCCTAATCCCATCTGGGAACAGTAGAGCAGGACGCATACAGGACGCCAGTCATTTGGAAAACTACACTGGACTCTACAGGATATTTTAATAGTTGACCTATAATCTGTACCTACACAGAAAAACTATTTTAACTAGACTCTGTTTAACACTGAGAGTTTATGACACAAAAGCAGATCCTTTGTGCGTAAATAATCTGCTTTTACTTTTGTTGGGAGAATGTGAAAAGTAGTATTTAAAAAAAAAAAGAGTATTTCATGTAAGTAAAATAGAAAAGAGAGCACATTGACTAATTACACAACATCACCGAAAAAGGGTCTGATAAAAATGGAAAAAAGAGTGAATGAGAAAGAAAAGTATAGCAGTGCAAACTCAAATAAAATATTAGGAAAACCTGGCTTTTCTGTTTAACTGAATCCTGTTTAAATAATGGTTTTTCTGTGTCTTGTGTAATTGCAAATGTACTTACATTAAGCAAGACAAAACTTCCAATCCTTCAGTTCTCTTGATACTTGAGTCATTCCTGCAGAAGAAAAAACAGTCCTTCCTTTATTCATGAGCATTTAGTCATTGTAATAAGTTTGTTTTAATGTACTCAGCAGTGGGACAGTCAGACCTAAACCATTGCAACAATTTAAAACATCTATTTTCAGCTTTTTCACTAAAGAAACTTGAAAGAAGTGCAAGAGGCTGAGTGGGAAAAGTAAAGTCCTTCCAGAAACATAACTTTTGTTTGTCATTTTTCTCCATAAAGTCACACTCTGAGGCTGCGAAATCATGACAAAAATAGCGAGAAGCGTTAAAAAATCTCAACATCTGAAACTTTTTACATTCATTTGTTTCTGTTGAAGATTTAGGGATCGAATGCAGAGTCAGGCCTTGTTCTCCCTCCTCTCAGACTCTCAACATCTTAAGTTATTTACACTATCAAATACAGTGATAATAATGTTTATTTATGACCAGAAACTATGGTTACTCTGTCCTTAAACGAAATAAATGCTTTTTGTGACTTGTTCATTTTCAAGCAGTTTATAATAAAATGTTAAAGAGCTGCTGCCCTGAGCTTTCTCTGCTTCGACTGCTTCAACAACTGCTAAAAACTATTCAAATGTTATGCATTTAAATAATTAATCAGAAGAATACGATCCTCATGGGTGGTACTGTTAGCGTTTCTCCATAATAAGCAAGTTTATTATAACAATGACTCACTTTCTTATCAATTATTTCCAAGTGAGAACAATGTGTAAAATTTTGCATAAAAAGAACAGAATGAAAATATTGCTGTAATTAAATCTGATTAAAATGTCCAAAATTCACACTTTGTACCAACTCTCTTCAAGTAAACTCACAAACTACAGACATGAAAATAATTAACTTACATCTATTAATTAGCGATATCTGCATGCATTTGTTCAACTTACATTTCTGACAACGAATAATTATTGAAGAGTTTTATGAAACACAACTTTTAAATAATAAATGTCTTAAAATGTAATTTGTTCTCTACTTAAAAAAAAAATAAAAATCTATAAAATACCACTTTAACAAATCTTTATAGAAAGACTAAAAGTGAATGAGCAGAGTATTTGTGGTCATGTTCTTGTCCGTAGAAAGCAGGCCACTTGCTCATTCCTGACTCAGTGTTTTTGGGCCCATCTCCGCTGACAGCCAAACAAAAGAGCCTTCACACAAATGACACACTTTCTGGAACGAGCCTCTCTAATCACTTTGTGCTTCAAACGGGTTCTGGGAACACTACGGGAAACGGGATTTATGTATAATCTAAAAACATATATAAAAAAAACATTGAACAATTTACATAAACAAGCATGAGCAAAATGGGCAGACCTATACACATTGATTTCAGATAAAAAATACGTTTCTAATTTCATTCTGCGAATAATGTAAGAATTAGGCACAAAGTGATGAGAGTGTTTAACTTTAGCTTTGGTTTTATTTTAATGCTTAACTACAACTTCTAATCTACTTAATCTACTCAAGGAAAATTTAATATATTTTCTTCAAAACTATTTTTTATTTAAAAAAAAAAATCTTTTTAATATTCAGGCTCATAAATATATATATTTCATAAACGCAGGCACAGATTCATACTGTACGATACATTTTATTATGTTCACTTTTCTCTGAAGCAACCTCACATATTTATATTTAATATTATCCAAACATATGTTTTAATAGAATAAACTAATACAAATTAAATATATATTTGTTTCTATTGTTTTACATTTTAATTTTGGCCTCTTCATTTGTAATAGATTTACGCTGATACTTGCTGCTGTAATGGACCCATTGGAATTGTCACAAAAATGGGACAATTTCAAATAAATAAAAATACATATTTTAACAAAAAAAATTAACCAAAAAATAAATATTTTAGGTTAGATTTTCTACGCTGGATCCAAAGTAGGGCCTTTAGAGCCTGAACATCGTCGGTGCAGATGGGAGGGGTGATGACCACACTATGACCTAATATGGTCAACAGAACCAGTACAGTGTTCAGGACATTCTTGGTGCTGCTGCCAGTGGAAATCTGATCGACATGAGGTGTCCTAATAAGGTCTTGGTGGGGGGAGCAACAGAACCACAAATCTCATTGGTTAACTTTTTAAATTTGTCTCTCTACGGTTAACCAATCCTCAAGCATGTAACATTGAGTTTTAATTGGTCGTGGAGAGCATGCACGGAGGCACATATGTGCGCGGGTCCTCAGCTGGTGGGACAGGAGAAAGAATGTGTACGGTTAGTGTACAGCTGAATCGCAGAGTGCTGTCTGCGTTGGGACACCTGACGCCCGCCACAAAGAGCACGTCTGAAGCAGATGTCTGACGCGCTGCTGAAGACGCACTGGTGAACACTCAGAGCCCGCGCACTTCAGCGCTGTATGGACAAAGGGTCCCAGAGGAGGTGAGGGGGGCTGTACAGCAGAGTGCGAAAGTGAACTTGTGACATTGTGATTTACGGTCATTTAACTACACACACTCCCTTTTTTATGCTTTTCTGGATCAGAAAAGATGATTGGGGTTCAGACATCCCGACTCTGTTGTTGGCGGCTTATGGAAAATCACCATCTATGCCGGGCATTTGGCCAAGACCCCCCCTCCCCTACTCCTCCTCCTCCTCCACACACACACAAGCACACACACAAGCACACACACACGCACTACCAGCCAGTAGGTTAGGAGCAATTACATTCGGGAAGATCCTGTCAAGGATGCAGCGTCATTAAAGCCACAAAGTCTATGGTAATGGCTTTGGCTGCATGGCACAACTGGTTTACTCAGCAAATACACACAAACGCATGAAATGACATCAGCGAGAACAGTGTTCTCACACGCTCACACAAGTGCAAGTGATGCTCATGTGATCATACGTTTGTGAGAAGGCTGTGCTTCTATTTCACTGTTTGAGGGAAAACCGGGGGTTTCTTCTGATTTTGTTTGTCGGAGAGCATTGTACACACATCCCAGTTCAAACAAAACACAGAACCACACAGATGTCTTGTATGTTTTATGACAATAAAAAAGAGGTTGTACAAATCTCTCGTGTGTTTGAACTAACAAAAGTTTATTATTTTTTCAAAGATACCGGACTGGAGTACAGAGTTCAAATAGACAAAACATGGACAGAAACAACAAAGCACTCTACTCCATGGAAAACTCAAGTGTCGGACAAGGAAAAATCTATGCATAGCCTACACACATAGGCAACACCCACGCACTCCTCTCTCTCCACCTCTTGCTCACTTCCTTCTCTTTTTTCTCAATGAAACTCTTTCACACAGAGGACACATCCCCAGAGAAGCAGTGTGCCCCTGACTCGAAGACGGTTAAAGTTCATCTCATTAACTCCTGACAAGCCCCCGCCCTCCTCACATGCACAGGAAGTGGCGCGATTACGACGCAACCGGAGCTACGGCCTCCTTTCAAGACAAGGGAAAAGGACATTGATACTAACACAATTTAGTGAGGACACACGCACACTCAAAACGCACCCCTGAGTCCACGTTGACAAATTCCTTAACAAGCTGCGGTTAAAGGGAAGCTGGTTTTACTCTGAGTCACCCCCCTCCTTTCAAACAGTTTACTGGAAATAAAGAGGGAGGAGAAAGGAGGGGGCATTTTCAGAGAAGTCACGTGACCACACCAGGCAAACCACAGCACAGAGAAGCTTTGAGTGCAGTAGGCCAGGGGGAAGACAGCATACGCCCAGCGCAGATGGCCCTGATTTGAGTTACAGGAGATACGATCCTGGGAGTTGGCAATCATGAATTCACAGCCTGTTAACCCCTTCCGTGCCAGATGATAAAAGACAAGTGAGGAAGTGGATCTATCAAATTACAGGAAATGCCAGGCTTGATCTATGTAGCATCACCCGAGAAAGCCTCTCGCCTCAGGAGGTTGGCTCAGAGTTGGAAAAAACGAATGTACAGGAAGGAATTACTTCATATTTCTTAATATAGCTCTTATGAATGAATGGTTAAAAGAAGGTTTCGTTACCCGCTATAAAAACAGTTAAATTACAAAATGTGCAAACATTAAATGACAAAAAGAATCTTGTAAAAAAATCCAATCCTGTCTTTTTATTACAACGTATGACACAATCTAATAGGACTCCACAAATTCCCGGGTCTGAGTCCAGAGGTTTTGGGAGAAACACAGGATCCTGCAGAATTACTCCAGGCAGAACAGGGAATCCTGAGAACATCCACATGATGGTAAAGCTCTGGCCAGATGAAAATGTTTCCATGTGCAGCTGATGAAAACAACCTGCCTCCAGATGCTGTCTGATCAGTCAAACACATATTTCACATGTACACAGATGAAAGCGTTGAATAACTCATGAAAATAAGATGAATGACTTCAGCAAAACACTGGCAAAAGCCAAAGTTCTTTGTAGAGAAAGCAGCATGCGACGCTTGGGTCTACTCCTGAGTCTCTTCTGAAAGATGTGTCCGATAACAAAGTCCATTGTATGATCTGGCCAAATGCTTTCCTCCATGCTTTCTTGCACGACTTCCACTTCTGCAGTGACTTTCTGAGTTCAGTGGGAAGAGCCACTGTATCAGCAACAGCAGCACGATGATGTAAGCGGTCCACTCTTATTTGTGGTCTCAACACAATGGCTGCTTCTTGTGCCAACCAAAGAAGATTTATAGCGTTTAAGTGTTGACCACTTATCAATGAAATAAGGTTATCCAACAAACATGATCTACTTAATTTTTTATATTTAAATTTTTTGGAATATGGGCGTAGCTATTACTGGTAAATTAGATGCAGCAGATGGACTGCCTTTATTACCACAATCTGCCCATAAATTACATTTGAGACTAAATAAATAGGCCTACAATAACAATACTAAATAATCTGATATATATATATATATATATATATATATACACACACACATAGTTTATTATGAGATAATGATGTTATCAAATAAGTTCTTGCAATTTGAATGTATTGAAAATTATAATTAGATGCAGATTAATACAGAAGGGTGCAAACGTTTGAGAACCCCAAACCAAATGTTGTATTGACGTGATCAGTAAAATAGATCTAAAAAAAATGATGGTGTAACAGATCAGACGTATACATTGTTTTACCGCATAAGTCCTCTAACCTTACAGTGAACGAGTACTGTATATTGACTGCTCTTCTGAGCTCTATCTACAAACTTGTTACAATGCAGGTCATTGTCAAAAGTTAAAGAAAGAAACAGACAACTGAAGTTTTATTTATGAAATAGAAACATCTAAAAGTGAAAAGTGGGATGTGCACATAGATCATGCAGCATTTCTCTGATGCATAAACTGACTGCTCACACCTTGCCCTAACAATTAAATAGAGACCATCTGTGTGTAAACTATTCTCAGTATGATTACAGTTGTTCTGTAATGGCCTCTGATGTTTACAGTGTATTGGTCACTAAACAGAATCATGAAGGTCATACCTCTGAAGAAAAGCGAACAGGAGCTGGTTAGTACTGTGATGGGAGACCTCTGGGAACACCAGGTGCCACCGTGGGGCGACTGTGGCTTTAAAGTGCCAAACTATCGCTGTGTCCTTAGGCAAGACACTTCTCCCATATTACCTAGAATGAGTCTGGTGTGTGTGTGAATGTCTGGTGGTGGTCAGAGGGGCCAATGGCACATACTGGTTGCCTCGCTTCTGTCAGTGTGACCCAGGGCAGCTGTGGCTACAGTAGTGGTTTATCACCACTTTGTATGGAATGAAAGAATAATGACTTTTGAAGTGTGTTTGGGTGTCCAAAAGTGCTATATAAAAACTAATGAATTATCAAAAACCCCAGTAAGAGTTAACAGCATGGTTCTCAGGTTCAACATTTCTCAGGCACTGGTTCAATCCATTTATTTGTAAATGGAAGGAGTATGGCACTACTGCAAATCTACCAAGACTCAGCTGTCTGTCAAATTGTGGGAATATGGATGGAGCGAGATACTGTACAGGACAATCTTGCAAGAAAAGCTGCTGAAGCTGGCAATTCCACATGATATTTACTAAGACAGCAAGATCACTTATGCACACCCCACTTTTCAGTTTTACTTATTTTATTTTAAATACTATCCATCATTTTGCTTTCACTTCACAGTTGTCGCATGGTCACATGAGTCCAGTTAATTGTTTCTTTTATACTGCCCAATTTGGCCAACAAAAAAATTGAATTGGCCCTGAACATATTTTCAATTATTATGATTACAGCATAGGTAAAATGGCTACCATTACATGTTATACCTAATTTTAAAACTGAATCTGGTGTGAAAGAATGGTTTCTGCCAGGCCGGCTGTGGCTGCAAGAGTAACTTACTAACCACCATAAAGTGGGGACTGAATGAATAATGAATATTTACAAGGAGACAACAACAATGTACAAACATTTAGAGAAAACTGTCACCTTTAGAGCAGCATCTTTTACTTCTGGTCCTAGTGGATTTGTAGTATTGTCGGAGATCTTCAACTGTTATAAAAAAATAAAATAGCATTACATAAATGACAAACTCATACCAATAAAAACAGTTAACAGCGTAAAATAAGTAATGAACAATAAGGCGCCCCAAAGGTGTAAAAACAGATGCCACTTTTAAAAGGCCGTATCAAAATTCTTCATGGCTAATAGCTACAGTGCAAAACCACTTTGGACATGTGGAATGCAGAGGTTCTGGAAAATGTAGGAAGTGCCCCCTCCGGGGAGGGGTCCCACAGAACCGACATATCAATATCCAAGAACTTAAAAGCGGTAGCAGTAAAGTGGTCGGTACACATGTGATAGAAGGAGTGAGTTCACAGCTCCTAAATGTGAGGGCGGAGAGAAGAGGCTAGAAGTATAGAGGGTAGTTTACCTTTTTCAACCAAACCGGTTGAAAAGGGTAAACTACCCTCTATACTTCTAGCTTCTTCTCTTAGCAAAATAGTTTTACCAGATGTTCTAGGACAAGGGCGACAGTAGCTCAGTTGGTAGAGCATTGGCCTTCAGGCCTGAAGGTCGTGGGTTCAATTCCCACCTCTACACCTTCTCCACCGACTCCCACTGATGACTGCTGTCGTTGTGTCCTTGGGCAAGACACTTAACCCCACTTTGCCCAAAGCCCCCACTGAAAGATCAAGGCTATGCTCACACTCAGAGAGCAGCCGTCCTCCTGTGGACTCACCACCTGCAGAGGGTCAGTGAGGGGCTGGTGCTATGAGACTTGGGTGGCATCTCTGATTGACACCCCCCTGACCCAGAAATGGATTAAAGGGTAGAAAATGGATGGATGGATGGATGGATTTATTATTTACATACGTAATATTTTCCTCACTAATTATCTAATTAAATTAGAGAGTCCACAAAACATCAGCAACAGAATAGACCAAAAACCAGTGCATCTTTTCTTCTGATCGACTGCACTTCTTGTAAACTCTTTGATGATTCGTGCCAGTTTCACTCACAATAGGGACATGCCTTCATCTTGTTGCACAGCTGCCCCATTGAAAAATCCCCGTCTCTGTTTATAAGCTTTAGCGACAGAAGAAAGCAGCGTGCCAGAGAAATGTGTCCACCTGCAACAAGAGGGGCTACTTCAAGTGGACGGCTGGAACACAAAGACAAAGGAAGCAGAGGAGCTGGTCTCATAGCAGCAGGAGGACAGGTCCAGCAGGTGGGACGAGGCGGGGGGAGGGGCGCTTCTGGTGTGGGCATAAAACCTGCGGGCACAACAGGTGTCTCCAACTGTCAGCTCAGGGTTACCCAAGAAAGAAATCCATTATATAATATAATGTAAAAGAAGGTTTCAAGTAAGGCTGCACATCCTAATGGGCTGATCTAGCGTTGCTGGATTAAAAAAAAAAACTACAAGATATGAAAAACCATAAAAATCAGCACAGCTTTGTTGCTCCGACGTGTCTTTTATTTACAGACCATGTGTGTAATGTTTTGTGCTGAGGCCCTTCATCAGACAATGCCATTTATCTGCTGAAAACCTTTTAAAATGTTTGTGTTTTTAAAGGATCCTGGATCACAAAAGACTGTACAACAGATCCTGAGCTAAAGATGTGCTCTATTGATAAACATGAGCACTATTGTTAGTTAGTTAGTTAGAAATATTAGTAAGTTCAAAATGTTTATAATTGATGTACTAATGTAATATATATAATAATAATAATATATCGTAAACTTATCCGGAATAAGCTGAAATATGCCTGTAAATGTAATAGATTCAAGAATACCATTGGGTGAAGAGCAAAATGGACAATAGCATCATCAATTCAAGACCCCTAACTAGAAATATAGTATATTACTGGTGACTCTATTGTTTGCAACTTTCCAAACAAACTCATATCTATATAAGGTGGTTCTGCATTTCTTGATAAATTGTATTCATCTGGTTTTACTAGAAAATGACAATGTTTCTTGTCCAGTGTGGCAGGACTCACCCACACATAGATTCAGATTTGAGAAGGTCCCCATTACTTTCTGGGCTGCAGTGCTTGATACTGGTGCCTCCTACTGGGGGAAAATTGGCCGCGTTTACAGCAACAGGTTTGATGCAAGTGCCTGTAAAAGACAAACACCCACATTTATAGATATGAGAGGAGCAAAGACGTCAAAATGAACCAGGTAATTATACGGTTGGATTCTGAGTCACGGAAAGACCCCTCATTATCACTATAAAAGACATGATTCAAATTAGGACTCGCTCTGGGACTTTTGTTTAACGCTAGGAAGAGAAATGAACTATAATCATTACACACGGGCGGCACGGTGGCTGAGTGGATAGCACTCTCGCCTCTCAGCAAGAAGGTCCTGGGTTCGAATCCCGGCCGGACCAGGGCCTTTCTGAGTGGAGTTTGCATGTTCTCCCCGTGTCTGCGTAGGTTTCCTCCGGGTACTCCGGTTTCCCCTACCACTAAAAATATGTACAATAGATCTGGCATGCGCCTCCTGTTTGGCGACCCCGCTCCCATCTCTGTGCGGAGTGAGAGGACAAGTGCCCAAAAATAACAATTGTAAACCGCTTTGAGACTCTGGTCTGGGAAAGGCGGTATATAAATAAAGCTTACTTACTACTACTACTTACTACACACAATAACAAGGACAATTTTGGCACAAGTAGGAAACATAATTATTGTCCAGGTCGCACTGAAAAGTTAACTTCAGTAAGATTGTACTGAACGTCTATCAGTATTCTTGTCCATAAGTTGCAGTGGTCAAAAATGTAGTCTTTCTAAATAATAGTTTGTCATATTATATGCATGTAGTAGTTCAGTATCTACTGTTTTTATGATACATTAAAACAAATATCAATAGCCATTTATCTCATTTTGATGAATTCATATTTTTGAACATTACAATGTTATACCATGTTATGACTCTAGTGTGTTCTGATTGTCTCTGGATGCGACACGTATGTCTTTCTATGTGTGACGTATCTGTGACGTAACAATGACTATATGTCCTACAAAAAACTGAAACAACTGAAACCTGAAGGAAACAGAATAAACTTCCAGGAGTTCTGGTGCGCCACGATCCCGTCTCAATTAAAACAAAAACAAAAGTCGTTTATTTTGATGAATTTATATTTTTGAACATTACAATGCAAGACTGAAAATAAATGTAGGACAAATGAAGATTTCTCCAGAGAACTGTGAATGAGGGAATCAATATCATGTTGACAACAAAGCAGATCAGTTGATCTGATTTCATTATTATTACTTCTCTGTTGAGCTTTACCAATCTAAAGACCTTCTTTGTTCTGACATTTGTTGATTAGAATTTCTGAGTTTAATAAATTATTGAATAATTATAATGATGAAGTTAATTTTGTTTATGAATGATTTTCACATTGACAAATTAGAGATGCATTCCTAGATCTAGGCGGTGATCTGGATCCACTTTGCTCCATTTTCGTGTTATGGGGCCAACAAACAAAGCCAGGTGAAAACACAACCCCCTGGACTTTTCCATGATGGCCTCAAAGCATGAGAAACGGTCTGTTCTGCTTCAGCACAGCCGTTTGTCATGCGTACACTGCATGTGTAGGAAGGGTGTTCTCCGTGACGCACTAGGACAGTTGGTATTACGCAAGAGGCAACAGATAGAACAAATGATTTGGTAATTTTGGGGCGAGGCAGTAACTTCCGGAAGAACAAATGGCAAGATGGCACATACAAGAATAAGGGTCAAACACACACATGTTAATTACAGAAAATAAACAAATAATCATTTTGTAAAAAATATTTAAAAAAATAAAAATAAAGAAAAATGATATTATAAATTTACTTTAGTAGTGCTGTTTCAAAACACACATTTACAAATGTCTTCTCTCCATAGTGGTGCTCAAGTTATACTTTCTTCTTTTACTTTTTTTCCTTTATTGTTGTAATAATTCACCACTAACCAATCTTCTTCTTTATTATGCTAAAGCTAGAGATTTTATACTTGCTTCCTTGTTATGCTAAAGTTAGAGATTTCATTTTATTTTTGCATAGAGTTAATATCCATTTATTTTTTGTTATGTGCTCCTCATTCCCACTGTTCTGTAACTGGTGATGCAACACTGACATTTCCTCACTGTGGGACAAATAAAGGATCTCTTAATCTTAGAACACTGATAGTTATAAAACTAGTTACTATTTTCCACAATGGAACAAGACTGAAGACACTGGACGGTAATAAAAACACCTTATGACCCATGTGTTTGAACTAGCGCCTGTGAGTAGCTGTGCCCCTGCCCCTGCCCCTGCCCTCCCAGGAGAGGCAGAGGGTACGAGGCTCCGGGTGCGTTACCTGTGCCTTACACAAATCGACATCAGCAACTTTTCTACCTCTCTGAGCCGCTCCAAGTTACTGCTGCTAAAAGAGCGATTATCCCGCAGAGGTGGTGGCAGTGGATATTTTAGTGTGTGTGCTAAAATAAGTATTTTACTGTGTAGTGCTTAACATCCACCTAATGTTTACGACGCCAGAAGGACAGAAATACAGCGAACTGACAGAGCACACACTCTTCAACTCAATCGGATCTACAATGAAAGCAGCATTTCTAACATTCCTGTGGCGACCTGCGGAAAGCGCCTGGCCCCAAAACGAGTGGGATCCCCTCTTCTGGGCACAGGCTACATCCATGCGGGGCCTCGAGACAAAAGGGTATTGGATATTGAGGAAATATAACAGTTTGATTCTTAGTTATATTACGTGTTAACTGTCCATTACAAAACTATAAGTAGTGATGACAAGATTAGAAAAATACACTTTTTACATTTGATCAGAATCTTATTTAACTTACACATGCATCGGTGTTTGCTGCATTTAAAATAATAATGTTATAAAACGGCAATCAGGGGCACAGATTTTTTTAATGTATTCATTAAAAAAATAAAATAAAAAAAAGCTCTCCTGAAGGACGAAGACAGCTCAAGTGAATTTGCATAAACTGAATGAAAACGTTCACCAACAAAGTGCAAGAACAGTGGGTGGGATGACAAAAGTGAAAAATCAGGTTAATACATATCCAACAGTATATTAAAAAAAAATCATTTAAATGTTGTATTTTATTTAACATTTATTTAACCAGGAAAGTCCCATTAGGATGAAGAACCTCTTTTCCAAGGGAGTCCTAGACAAGACAATCACATTACAGTGCTACCTATAGAGCAATACGATTGTGAAATCCTATCGCTAGTATTGAATAAATAAAACAACTTTAATTTTACAATTCTCCATATTTCAAGTTATTCAGATTTACAAATACGAACTGAAGAAACCAAAAATTAAATACATAATATTTTACTATACATTGGTTTAGGTCTTTGATTGACAAAAGCATGTATTACGGGACCAGAGTCTTGATGCAGACGATTGGAAAAGAGGAAGAGGAAGTCTGTGGATCAAGACGATGACAGTGAGAGGTCCAAATGATCCCTGTGGTTTCAATACACCTCAAAACACACACACGCAACTCCAAATGTATGCCATTAGATGTAAAAAAAAACAAAAAAAATAGAAAGAAAAAAATTGTGTATTCAATGCAAAAAAAAATAAAAATTTGAACTCAAGCCTGAACACACAGATCAAGAGACAATGTGAAAAGGGGTTCTATATTTAAGGAGTTATACTTATATTACTCCTAACCCTTCTCACACATCCAATTTGTTTATCAATAAGACAAAGAAAAACTTTAACTAACAAGCAAAAATAGCAAGTAATTTTGAATACTATATTATGAACTCTGGACATTTCAAACATAAATGCTATAATACAGACATACAATGGAACACAACGCTCTGACACAAAGGTGAGAAACAACACTTAATGTTAGATCTGAGGAGAAAATCCCTCAAATTATGTGAAGACACACAATCTAGATGTTGTTAAAAATGCATGTCTCCAAATGTATCTAAGAAGTGAAGTGAGAGCTCTGTTACTGACATCCAGTGGTGACTCAAAGAGTAGATTTCCCGCTTCTCAAAAAGCCCTGAATTTGATCCTGATGTGTCACGGCTCATGTTGCAGGTAATGGGCAGGCCAGGTGTCCCCTCTCACGCCGGTATCACACACTACACTGACTCACACTTTGCTTAGAGTATTATGTCTCGTCATCCACAAACAGGTTCAAATGTAGGACAAGAGAATTTAAAGGTGACTGTTGTTATAAGTCGTGGAATATTTACTCCAGGTCAAACAAAGCCCAGAGTGAGTCACTGCTTGAACAAAAGTGACGGCTTTTGTGCTGTTTGCTTTTATGACAGCACACTGTAAACAGTGGTCAGATAAATGTAGAGGGACACTCATTGTGTGGCCTTCATCTCTGAGCACGGGGGGAGACAAGACCTCCAAAGCTCCAAGAGACTTCTCCAAGAGACTTCTCCAAGAGACTTTTCCAAGAGACTTCTATGGAAGTTCTAACCCATTGAAAACAGGACATTGTGTGGGCCTTTTATTCCAACAAAGCACCTTATCCAAAACATTTTATCCATATTCAAACATCTTTTCATTAGGTACATTCAATATCATGCCTTTGTGATTATGATTAATTGTCCAAAGGCCTATTGTTACATGAACAACTACAATGGTTATGACTAGAATAATCGTCTGCGTTGCCCATAATGACTTAACAGCCACAGCCAATACTCAAAGTAATGTAGTAGTGAAAGACACAGTTGAATACATGTTTTTTTTTTAAGATTTCTCTCACAGGAAAATACAAACATGCATTTAGCTCACAAAAATGCACCACCAACATGTTTTAATGTATTGCCCCCTCCATGAAAGCAGTTGGTAAAACCTGAAGAGGTGGCAGTCGGTGTGGATTTTCTTTCTTTCCGCTTGATTTACAAGTCTTTAGGCTCTTTTAAAAATAGTTTCTGTCCACAATCAATGACCCACTGCATCTCAGTAGGACACAAACTCAGAAGTGGGAGTACTGACACTTCTGATTTCATTGACAAGACTGGGCAAGAGATCAGCCCTCTAGCTCCACCTACAGTCAGATGTGAGAGAGGCAAAGACTTTCATCTCATCTTTTTCACACATCCTAGTAAATTGGTCCAAATGTTAAAATAACTCCAACAACTATTGAATGTTGGTGAAATAAAGCTTAAGGGCATGGCTTGGTCTAAACACTGTCAATGTATGTAAACTATTATTCTGTAGCTCCTTCTTTTAATACACTGCCCTCAGAGGTATGAATTTGTTAGTGAACGTGTATCCACCTTTATAACAGATAAAAATAATGCTTGTTCGTCTCTATTCAACAGGAACTCCCTCTATATTATACAGTAAAATACAAATTAGACATCAATAGGGTGCTGGCTCCATCTACTGCCTCTTTTTGGAATAGCTTCTCATAAATAAAACTAACTGTACGAATAGTGATTTAATGCTAATTCCTGGGGTGTTTTATCGCATGTAATATGGAATAACAGACCACTTTTCAACATTGTAATTCGTATTATTTAACTAAAATAAAAATAAAAACACATCAAATGAAAGTTGGATAACATTGCAGTTTTGTAGACCTTTCTCTGCCCCCAGTTCAGTTGCATAACATCACTAGGTGTTTTGGTAACTGGTACCTCTATGGTTAACAAGAGGTAAAGCAGCAGATACAAATCCTACACAGAAAAATGAGCATATGAATTCTTATGGTCAAATATTACAGTGGCTCTGTGATATGCATTTATTTTTAGAGATAAGCATAACCATAATGAGACTAATCTTAAATAATAATATTCTGCATCTGAAGTGAGAATGGAGCGTGGGTTTCACTGTTACAACACAAATAGACCTGCATAAACTGAATACTTACATAATGAAAAAAATTAAAATGCTATCAAATATAAATGTTTAACAGTGACGGTAGAAGAAATACCAAAAAACACCCAATATAAATATACAGAAATGATATTTGTGTCGACAACAAAAGAGGTACGCATAAATGCACAACTGCAGTACAGCAAAGAGCATTGGGTTCTGACATGAACTCGATGACACCAGCAGTACTACTAGCCTCCACTAGGTGGGAGCATCCCACATTTATTCTTACCGTCAAAACAGGTCCGTCACTAGGACCTATCAAAATGTATCACAACTTCGGCATGTTATGAAAAACAACTATGTTCTTTTTACTGCAGAAGGAAGTACACAAGGGGCACACTGACCTGCCAGACGTCTAGTTACAGACTGATGAGGACTGGACACACACATGCAGATGTTTATTATTTGAGATAAGATGTTGTGCTTCACAGCAACAGGTATCAACAGTTTACATCAGCCCACGAGACACAAAACAACATCTCAAAGTAGGAAAGAAGGAGAAAGAAGGAAAAAGGAGAGATGCAACTAAAATGAGAAGCAAACAAACAAGAGTGAATGTGTTACTACAGTTGCTGGCACGATGGGGAGTATAAACTGGGGAGGGAGGGAGAGTGTTTTTATCCCCATGCATCGAGAGGGGTCAGCGAGTGCAATTGTTCTTGGACTGCCTGTCAAAACAGTGCACCGACCACAGACCATGTTTATCTCCACCCAGTCATGTAAAAAAAGCCATGCTTACAGCCTCCGGTGTGATCACACTTGGTGCGCGTTTTTCCTTATTTTAAAAAGCTTCATAAATGATCTTAAAACATGATTGGAAACAACATAAGAACTGCATGATAAAAGATTGATAAATAGTCTTAATAAAAGCCATGAACAGCAGCATGAAACCAGGCATTGAAGTTTTAGAGACCTGCGTCACAACATCATTACTCCACTGGCTGAGCTCTGTCATGAACATGCACAGGCAGGTGAGTAACTCTAGTTTAAAAGTGACATTATGTAAAGTCTCACCAGGCAGAGGAGGAAAGTGACCTGGTCCAGCAGACGCACGAACCACCACGGATGATGCCAGAGGCCAGCCAGCCTGTGTCTTCTCCTCCATGTACTGCACATACTGCAGAGGCCAGAGAGAGGGACGGTCAACCACATGGCAAAGACACATGCACAGAGTGTGAGCAAAACAAGCCGAGGAGGGGGGAACGCGGAAAGGGAGGGCCAAGAGGAGAGGGTACAAAAGTGTAAAAAACAGGGAGCTTAAAGAGATTGATGGAGTGACTGTTGTTGAGAAGGGAGCTGTGGGGCAGGAGCGCTCGCAGACAGACCAACACAGACATTTCTGACTTGTTACAAAACAAGTCAGAAATCGCATCATTATCACTTCATGTATCAGTCCATTTGCACTTCCTCCCTGGGGTTAGCAGGTTGTTTCCAGAAGGAAGTGTGTAGAAGGGGGATGCAACATTTCAATTGCGTTGAGATACATTTCTGCAACACGCTCCTTCCTCAGGAAACGTATCTAAACAAACACATCGGGTTCGACCTCAGTGTCTGCGCTGGATCCAGGGAAGTGAAGAACCAACCATGGGCATTTGTGTGGTTACTGGAAAGCCATTACACAACATCTGAAATCATTGCGTTTAGCATAATAACTGGTGGTTTCATAACAGGGAATTGGTGGGGGAAAACACAGCAAGTGAGAGTACAGTACTTCTCATTATGGTTTTTACTCCACTGCGAAACAGGATAAACAGGTCAAACACTGAAATAGATGATCACATCAGCCTTTTGTACAACACCAAACAATAACAAGAAATCAACAATTAATGTTCAATGTTGGCACATTGGTCAACATATATTCTTAAAAATGTGTTTTTCTTGGTTTTATATGGATTTAAGTGAATAGGTGATAAGAGCGAACCCAGTGAACCACAGCCCTCCCCCTCCTGTTCCTCCGCCGTCACGAGTCATTTATAAACGTTTCACATCGACTAAATGGACGCATTAACCTCACAAAAACTTGGTTATATATATAGGAACCAATGAGGTTATCTAATGTAAGTCAATGGCTTAGGGAATCTTGCTCTCCTCATACACATTTTGGAGTATAAATGATTTCATGATGTATGTAAAACATCAACATCACGTATAATTTTACTAAATACAAAGCCCAACCTCCCACACGTCTACTCAAGGCCAGTGTTTCCCAAGCAGGGTTATACAGACCCCTAGGGCTAGACAAGGGCATTACAGGGAGTACTTAAAATTATTTTCAAGTGTTATTAGTATACATGTAAACTTTGTATGGGCTAAAGTGGGGCAACAAATTTAGTCAGCCACTAATTGTGCAAGTTCTCCTATTTAAAAAGATGAGGGAAGCCTGTAATTTTTATCATAAGTAAACCTCAACTATGAGAGACAGAATGAGAATCAAATCCAGAAATTAACAATGTCTGACTTTTAAATAATTTATTTGCAAATTTAGGGGGAAAATAAATATTTTGTCAATAGCAAAAGTTAATTGCAATACATTGTTTTATATCCTTTGTTGGCAATGACAGAGTTCAAACATTTTCTGATGCATTCCTCATGCAGATCTCCTCTAGAGCAATGATGTTTTGGGGCTGCCGCATGCCAACACGGACTTTCAACTCCCTCCAAAGATTGTCTATGGGGTTGAGATCTGGAGACTGGCTAGGCCACTCCAGGATCTTGAAATGCTTCTTACAAAGCTACGTTTCATAATCAATGTCCTTGCTGATGGAAGGGTTTTCATTCAAAATCTCACAATAAATGGCCCCATTCTCTCTATCCTTTACACGGAACAGTCGTCCTGGTTCCTCGCAGAAAAACGGCCCCCAAGCATGATGTTGCCACTCCCATGCTTCACAGAAGGTATGGCATTCTTTCTCCTCCAAACACGACGAGTTGAGTTTCTACCAAAAGGTTCTCTTTTGGTTTCACCTGACCATATGACATTCTACCAATCAACTTCTGGATCATCCAAATGCTCTCTAGCAAACTTCAGACGGCCCTGGCTTAAGCAGGGGACACATCTGGTACTGCAGGATCAGTGTCACTGATGGTAGCCTTTGTTACTTTGGTCCCAGCTCTCTGCAGGTCATTCACTAGGTCCGTGTCGTTCTGGGATTTTTGCTCACCATTCTTATGATCATTTTGACCCCACGGGGTGAGAGGGAGATTGTCAGGGGTCTTGTATGTCTTCCTTTTGGTGCAGGTCTACAATGTTGTTTCTGTTGTTCTTTGACAGCTCTTTGGTCTTGGCCATAGTGGAGTTTGGAGTGTGACTGTTGTGGACAGGTGTCTTTCATACTGATAACCAGTTCAAACAGATGCCATTAACACAGGTAACCAGTGGAGGACAGAGGAGCCTCTTAAAGAATCAGAATCAAAATCCTTGTTTTTCTTTTTTAGGAGTTACAGGTCTGTGAGGGCCACAAAGAGTCGGCGTTTCCTATACGCAGACTACGCAGTATGCGTAGGGCCCCGGAGTGCGGACAGCGAACTGCGGGAACAACAGTTGGGTAAAAAACATGTGGTTGCCAACCCGACGCATTGACTGTCTGCAAAGAAAGTTGAATATTGTGTCTGACATGTTTTATTTCTGTTTTTAACGAGTCCCAAAACAACTTCATCAGTCAAGCTCTTGTTGTGGTGAAGGTGCACACCTTCAAAATAAACGCGCTTCCTTTGGTAATCGGAAGTATTTTGTTATATTTGTAATTTAGACATAATACTAACAGTGTTAGTATAATGCACTACTGATATTAATATTAAGGTTATAAATACTAGTGGTGCTAATAATAATAATTATGATAATAGTACTACATAATAAAAGTGATGATTTAATCATACAATATCCTTAATTCATTTGTTGTGTCAATAAAAACATAGCTTCAATGGGTCAAGAGCGGTTAAGTGGTTTTGCAATGTACATTTCGAGTACATTTTCCACATTGTATGTTCTGTATTGTGCTGGTGAGTTTAATACGGCACTATTTATTTGCATTTTATTTATTTTTGTATTTAAACATGTTTTCACACTGAATTATGTATTTGTTTAAGTGTAATGGAAGTGTAATGTTATGGTTTCTATGGTGTAGGGCCCCTATGCTGACTTCTGCTTAGGGCCCCAGCAAGGCAAGCACCAGCTTTGGGGCCACAAATCTTTCTTTCTTGTCGGTGACCGAATAATTATTTTACTATATTTTGCAAGTATATTCTTTAAGAATCAGACAATGGGATTTTCTAGATATATTTCTTTCTCATTCTGTCTCCTCCCTCATCTTTTTAAGTGGGACAATTTTAATATTTCAGTAACAATATGGGGTCTATCAGTCTAAACTAACAAGCCTTCTTTAGTTTTGGTCTTTTTAGTCCAAAGACAAATCTAAAACTCCAAAGCAATCATTTGGCCAAAATACTTACACAATGTAATCAATAAAAACATAAATTAAAATATCAAGATGCAAACTGTGGCCAAACACTACATTTCCATAAAGGAAATGTTGAGACCTTGTCAATGCACTTAAACCTGAATAAAGGTTGTGGCCCCCAACAGCTCTTACACAGGGCAACAAAGGTTTGGGGCCGCTGCTCCAGGCGACCCTGACTACAGTGTTGCTCTGTCCACCAGGTTTGGCTGCAGACCTCTTCGTCTCCCTGCAGGTGAGCTGTGCGTGTGTCGTACGCATGGAAGGACGGTAGCTCTTCTCACTCACTAACTGCTTGTGGTGCTTGTGGCTAACCACATCCTCTTGTAGTTTGGAAAATAAACACATTGTCCTCTCTCACAGTTAACCACAGACCTCCTGTGAGTACACTCTGACCTTGTTTCAGTCCCTGCATGTCAACATAGATTATGGGCTGTGTAAAAAGCATTTATTACGAAAATACACGTGACACTCAGTAGTAAATATAGATGTTGCCGTTTGAGCCAACAGGAAGAGAACATCATGCAGCATAGCCTTGATCTTTCAGTGGGGGCTTTGGGCAAAGTGGGGTTAAGTGTCTTGCCCAAGGACACAACGACAGCAGTCATCAGTGGGAGTCGGTGGAGAAGCTGCAGAGGTGGGAATTGAACCCACGACCTTCTGGCCTTAAGGCCAATGCTCTACCAACTGAGCTAATGTCGCCCCTTCATTCAATATAAGTACGTTAATTTCTCTACAAACATGGTGAAAAGAAGCTTTGTCTCTACAGCATGATTTATACTTTTAAAGGTGAAATCTTCTATTTGCTATAACATTCCCCAAAATATATGCAAGACAAAATAATCACAATGGCATGTTACATTCCTTGCTATTCTAATGACCAAAAGACATTTAAACAGATATTAATATTGACATATCTTGACATGAGTAAAAAAATCGGATCAGAACATAAATACCTGATGCTTTTAGTCTCCCAAGGAGGCCGTTTTTCCTCCATAACTTTTCCTAAGACGTTCTGAGGCACCTACCGCCCAGCCTTAAAAGAGCCAACAACAAAAAAATGTTCATTACAAAAGGCTATAATAGAAAATATCATTTCTAATGCAGAGACAAAGTGTAAAGCACCTGAAATGAAAGCACCAGTTTCTCTTCCTGCAGATTACTGGTAACTTAATCAGGCCCGTGCATGACCAAACCAATACTTTACTGGCATTGGGGCGACAGTTAAAGCTCATAAAAGTCTCGCTTGTGTACACCTCCAGTCCACACCCCAATGTTTAAACACACAGATAATCATATAATTAATGATAACTGTTCACAGTAGGTTATAATTTGAACTTTCCCAGAAGTCTTGTCTATGTCTGCACTCGTGTTTCACAGCCTTGTGTTCCCTTGGAGTGGGCCTCTTGTGTGTTCTGGCATTCCACACGTGGACCACTGTCATGCACCATGCACACATTTCAAAGCTGCCACAATTTGATTGAGCAATAGGTACGGTTCTGGTTGTTGTCCACTGGCAGCAGTTATCACGTCATAAAAGGTAATATAACCTTTAAGTAAGAACACACACTTGGTGTTAACATTTTTAATACGCTTTCCAGACATACTAGAAAGTGAATAAACTTTAACGACCTGGAGAACCAATTGGTGTAAAATGTCATTTTGTGAAACAGAACTACAGGCAAATGCTAAAGATTCAGTAAATATTGCAGCGGTAGTGCACGTTAAGCCCAATAATGGGATGTGATAATATGAGAACCTCTGTATTCAAATGTGAGTCTCCAGATTCATAAATTATAGATCTGATTGTCAGTAGGGCCATTTTAAGAAATTGTGTCTCTGTGCTCTCAATGTGGTGTAAATAACAATGATAAAAGAAGGATTATTTTAGAACAACAAAATGGTGAACTCCACAGCTAATTTTTGAGCCGCAGTAGCACACTAACTGGCAATTGCGCAATCTGTTCTTCAGAACAACTGCAACCTATTGAGTAACTTTTGTGAAGGGCTATAAAAAAAGGTCAACACTTTCATTGAATGTCGTAAATATATATATATTTTTTAATCTATGCAATAATTTTAAACAATAAATTTTACAGAAAGAAAAACAAAACCCAGAAAATAAGCAGTATATGGTTTCACTCTTACTGTAACAATAGACAATAACAACAGAGCAAAAGCAAAGTGAATGCAGGGTGTGTGGAGGGTAGAGAGATGCAGCAAGAGTGGAGTGTCACAGGGAAAACAAGACCAGAAAATGGGCAGGCAATTTTATCATTTGCCTGTTCAAGCCTCCAGAGAACCAGTCTAATTAAAAACCCTATAAATAAGCACTTGATGACTTTCCTGGAGCACACTTCTAACACTTGTTCGTCCTCTGAATAAAATCATAAAAAGAATAAATCAACATTTGACCAAATGGTTGACGTGTCCCACAGTGACACAAGAATCCTTGAGGACAGAGGGTTTTGTAGGTCACTCTGTAAATGCATGGAAGCCCATCTGAATGAATGGGTCAAAGCAAATGTACTTATGTCTAAGTACCACAGAGAAAGTCGTGTGAATGTGACTCAGCAATGAAAAGAGTAGACTTCTACCAATGAGTTCTTACTTCTTACAGAATGCTATATGGTCAGTATTCTCTTATCCAGGCAGTCTGAGAATTAAAGCCATCTTCCTGTAGACTCAGCACCTGCCAGAGGATCAGCAAGGGGCTGGTGCTATGAGTGTGATTGCCACCCCGACCCACAAATGGACTAAAGGAGTGGAAAATGAATGAATGAATGAATGTACAAAGGTAATTTAAAAAAAATGCTTGGTTGAAAGATTTGCTTCTACCTTTTTTTTATTTGAATGGGACAGTGCATGTCATTGAACAGACACATTAAAAACAATAATGTAAACATGCCAGATTATAGCCAAAGGCTAAATTTCCATCTGTAAGAGTAGCCTTGTATCCCAGACACATGGAGAATTTATAATTGAAGTGCGTAAAGCTATAGCTAGCAATAGACAGGAGAGGGAGCTGCAGGACTGCCTGCGGGAGCAGAGCAGGACGTTGAAAACATGATCATCAGAATCAGAATCCTTTTTATTGCCATGTGAGTAAGAGAAAGTCACAAAATATTAAATTGTTTTGGCTCTCGGTGCAAACAAGTTAAGTAGAATAAAATTAAAGGCATGCATAAATAAAAATCTACATAAAGTGCACAAGGTGCACGCAATAGACTGTTAAGAGTGCGGTAGAGTGCAGTAGAATACATTACAAAATTGGATTAATCAGCCGATGATAACAAAAAATATATATTAAGGCACCAATAGTCTGCTATTTCTTCACCATAGAAGGGCTGTCTGAAGTATGCTATGAAAAATAAACTTGCCTTGTCTTTAGACTGAGAAATTTAAAAAAAGAAGCATGATGAAAGAAGGGGAAGGAGACGTTTGTAAAGCGTCTGAACCAAAGAAGCGAGTAACCATTTCCAATATCTGCAGTATTGGGAATAGATTTTTGTTTTTATTTCTGTACCTACAAACAATTCCAAAACCTGAACAGAAAAAAACCTTCACTTTTAAATAAAACATATTATATTATATACTCTGATTCTCCCCATGGATTCTCTTTTTTCCACTGTTTATTTATTTTGTTTTCATTTTACCTGACAAAGTAGGGTATTCTAGCTAGGTCTAGGTCTTTATCCGTTTACTTAATTACTGTGAATATTGGATGATTTGATTTACAAACAAAATGTTTCAAGACAACTGCTGTTACGATTTTAGGCAATACAAAAATAAAATGTATTTCCTAAAGTCATACTTTTATGTTGGAGGGAAATGTGTTCTCTGCATTTAACCCAGGCTGCAGGGTCAATCAGGAGCAGCGGTCTTCATAGTTTAGCGCGATAATACTTTGAATAAATCAATTTTATTTAATTTTAAAATAAAAACAATGAAACTATGAAATCCATCTACTAGTTCTCAACTCTAAATACTTCTCACTCTTATAATCTTCTCACTAGTTCAGATGCGTGTACTTTTGGCCTGTAAGCTTGGTTGACAGAAAAGTGAAAAAGAGCGCCTCAACCATGGATCTATTATAATAACTGGATAAGGTATTACTAACTTGGAGCTGAAGAATCCATGTGCTCGGGGGATTCTCAGACTAAACCAGACTAAATTCACATGGGCTACCCAGAAATGTTCCCCATTGAACTCAGCGTAAACTAAAACAGCTCGACCTCATTTGACAGAGAACCTACAGCTTTCGGTCAGATATTGTGGGGACTTTAGTGTCCCTTGTCATCCTGAACTTTTTTTCTTTGGTTTTATTTAAATCCTCACTTTATTGCCTCAAACTCTGCTCGTTTCCTTCCCGCTCTACCACTGCTCTGATCATCAGCGCTGATTAGTCAAACTGCGGCCCGAGCCCCTCTGTGCATGTTCATGAGAGCCACACACGCGTATTTGGCGTAACGCATCATGGGAGATTATCCACTGCACAGAACCGGGAGGACCAGACAATGCCCAAATACAGCCGACTTCTGCTAATATGTCAGCGCCCGTGCCGGTGGCACATGCACCACTGAGTACAAACCATTCATTTGAATACGGCGCCATCTTGGATTGCCGGGGCTTGTTCTCAACCAATCAGCCAAAAGCGTCAAATAATGGCCTCAAAGGCCTCTTTCATTACAAAGTCTGCAAAAGATAATACGAATACGAAAACTTTTGATGTCCACCAAGGTGGAAAATTGTCTTTAGTCGTCACCTCAAAACACATAAAAGACACACATAATAAATAATATAAAAATATCATGTGGCACTACATTCACAATACAATTGGAAGAACTAACTGGGAACAGAATCGCCAACAAGGCCTCATCAGCCTAAAGACGAGAGTCAACCTCAGGACTTCTCAAAGCTTCAGAGTGTTCGCCGCTTTCACTGCTCTGGGCACAAAGGAGTTTTTAAAATGTCTTGGCTGATGTCACTCGATATCTCCGTCCTGACGGCAGAAGTTGAAACTTCGGTTTAGTGGATGGGAAGCATCATTGATGATGAGCTCAGCCTTCTTTCCCAAGCGCTCCACAAACAAACAGTAGAGAGATCTTTGTGACTGCCCAATGATCTTCAAGCTCTGGTTCACGATCCTTTGGAGTTTGTTTTTATTCTTCATGCTGAGCACAGTAAGAACACCTTTCAATTGATGCACACAGCTTTTCAAGAGTCTCCCTGAGAGGCCCTGTGGCTTTCCCTGGTTTTATCTGGGCTAAGCTAGCAGCCACTTCTTGTTAAGCAAGTACAATGGGGTCATATTCTGGGATCCAATCGCAAATAAAATCACAAGCTGAGCTAAAATCAGTCTTATCGAACCGAGTGTAGAATACATTCAAGTCATTAACCGTTACCAAAGAAGAAAAGAGCGCAGCGAGTTTGTTCTTTGTCTCCCTGCCCATTATTTGGTTTAAGCCCTCCCATGCAGTCCTAATGTTACCTGAGCAAAAATTCCTCTCCACATTCTGTCTGTATTCTAGTTTTGCTTTGTTCATCTGACATCATCTGATCTCTTTTCTCTGACAAGGTCTAGATTACCATTAAGGAAGGCTACCTTCTTCTCATTAATGAAAACCTTCAACTCACTTGTCATCCAAGCTTTGGTATTGGGATAAATCTTAACAGTTTTTGTGCAAATGACATTACTTTCACAGAAGGTCAAATAGAAAGTAATAGTTTGTATGAGTCAAAAAAGATCTGCCAGTCCTTTCTTCGAGGCAATCCCTTAAAGCAGCTTTCTAATGAAGTAAAAGTGGCATGCTGTGGTCTAATTTGTTCACATTTTTTACATTTAACTTTTGCTGTTAGTACAAATAAAATGTTTTTATTCTAGAAGAAAATAATAAAGTGGAGATACCCAGCTTCATAATTATTACGCACAGCGGCCTGAAAAGACTGGCGTAGTAATTTTAATGTTGCTTACACTCATTATGTTGGATTACCTTTTCATCTCGTTGATATATGTTTAGCTTGACTTGACCTGAGCATAGTGAAATCATGAGCACGTGGTTTTGTTCGTTTTTTTTTTTTTTTTTAATGCACGGCCCCGGAAATGCTACAATCATCACTTCCGGGTTGTATTCCGGTAACCAAAATCTGCACGCGCAACACGCCGAGTGACCGGTGCGTAAAGCAATAATTTATCCGCCACTCTCGTCACATATTTTCACATTTAGAGAACATTGGGATTAACATGAGTTAGTTAAAAAAATACATTCATACAGTTCGAATGTGGATTGCGTGTGGCACAAAATAGGACAGGCGGGAAGTTAGCTAGAAGTATGCTAATTTAACCCTTTAGGCGCGAGGAGTTTTTCAAAGATGTTATGTGGAACCGTTGAGCCTTGAAATGGTGGAATAAATGGTCAATAAGATAAATAAATATGAGAGTGAGAATAGGGATTCCGAAATCTATAGTGTCCTGGAGATGAATAGAAATTACTAACGTAGTAAAGCTCAAACTTTCAAACCACAACATAAAGAACTATTTACATGTAGTTAGCTAATAGAAATCAATTAACTCCGTAGTTGCTCACAAAATCGTTTGTATTTGGTTCTACATAAATTTCTTCTGCCATTAGCTCAATGCCTAAAGTGTCAAATAGTGACACTTTATACTCTTACAAGTATGCAAAATATAATTTTTTTTTAATAATAAAACATTTATATTGGTTTACAGTACTTTCAACTGTATTTCTCTTTGCGATGACACATATTTTTGCATAAAATGTATTCTAATTCTAACTGGTAATATTGTTGTGTTACAGTGGGCAGAATGGAGTATGTGAATGGGCCGTTTGGCTTGAGTGTGGTCGCAGGGTGTGGGCTCATTCTTGGTTGGTTCCTCCGTGGAAGATTGGCACCAGCCTCCAAAAACATTGCAGCGGCAGCGATGGCGAACAGTGCTGGGGAGGCCTGTGTGATGGGAGAAGGAGGAGAATACAAGATGATCATAGTTGTGCGAAATGACCTGAAGATGGGCAAAGGCAAAGTTGCTGCACAGTGTTCCCACGCGGCTGTGTCTGCTTACAAACAAGTCCAAAAGAGACACCCAGAGCTGCTGAAGGAGTGGGAGTACTGTGGCCAACCCAAGGTGGTGGTGAAGGCTCCAGATGAAGAAACGCTCATAGATTTGCTGGCCCGCGCTAAAGAAATGGGACTTCCCGTTAGTTTAATCCAGGATGCAGGCCGGACACAGATTGCTCCGGGTTCACGCACAGTATTGGGGATTGGTCCTGGTCCATCGGATTTGGTTGATATGGTCACTGGAGAGCTCAAACTTTATTAAACATCACCTTTGCAACAAGATTTAAGACTTTAATGGCCAAACCCATGTCTTTTTCAGAAGTACGTGAAATGCCATAGTTTCTCTATTGTTTGGGTAATTTGTTACACGTACTGCATTGGAAATAAAATGATTTACATAGCAGTCACATTCAATTTTTACCAAACCACAATTGGATTTCCCATTTTTGCACTCGGAGTATAAACTGATACACTTCCAGTTTTAATTGAAAGAAAAGACCTTTCTCCATCAAATCTAAATTTTATGACATGACTATACAGTACAAGTATGTTCAAAACATGAAAAACTAACATTGACAAACAAGAAGCCTTTATTTTCAAATGGAAAACAAAACTGCAGTTTCATTCAATATAATCCTGATTATGCACATTCATTTATTATAAGTGCACTGTTTAATTCAGATAAGGTGAAAGTTAATCATTGATTTATGTATACACACAAGCCATTGGGATAAAAACTTCAAATAACCACATGACCTGCAACAATGATTCGAACATGAATTAATTGGTCAGCTCAACAGGTTAAAAAGAGTAAGCGACAGTTCAGTAATCTTTCTGAAACTCAACAGGTAATATCCAGCGTAAACTGCAATAGATGGAGCCGGAGCGGTTTGTAGTTACTGCCCAAATGGAATTGGCTTCCACAAGCATTAACAAAGTACAATCAATTATGAATGCAGTTCTGGAAAATATACTCTTTAAGTGGTGACAAACGCAATGGAAGGAGTGAGGATTAAACTTAGTGTTTCAGGATTGTGGTACTTGAAGCGGCAGTTTCATATTCAAATACAAATTATCTGAATATACATTAATAAATGAATTTTACAGGTGGACAGAAAAAACTGCTCACACATCAAGATGTTCTACATTTCTTCTTACTACAGAGTGCAAATCAGATGCTTCACAACAGACCTTTTAGACCAAAGAGGACTTACTCTTCCAAAAAGCCCCTCGCCCCAATGTACACCGGTTCCCATTCAAAATGACAAAATAATCTAGTCAATATGGAATGTGAGCAATAATCTTTGTGATTGAACAGAAAAAAGTCCTTCATAGAAAAAGGGGTAAAGTACAAAATAAAAATAATGTTGGTGTTATGTTGTCCTGAAAAGGCAGAGATCTGGTGAAGGACTGCGGGTCATGGTAGTAGCTGCAGCTGGTCTTTACATGCCATAACCAAAGCCTGGCTGAGGAGCTGGCGGGACGTAGCCCGCTGGTGCCTGGTAACCATATCCATACGGTTGTTGAGGGGGCACAGGAACACTGGGGCCTGCCGTTAACATCAATTGTGGTGTGCCTTCAAAGAAACATTGTTTAGTCACATGTTTACCAGCTCTGTGCTCATAACATTTACTAACAGAAACTTGGACTAACCATAAACAATTGGTTGCGTCTCTGTTGCCTGCTCTTCCTCTTTTCTCAGAGACTCTGAAGTTTCTAGTTTATCAACCTGTAAAAACATTTTAAAATTCAACATTATTACCAGCAATAAAGATCATTTATCAAAGCAAACTCCCATGCTATTATGCATCAAGTTTATGTGCATTTAAGCATTCTGAAACAGTGCAGAATGTCATGCTAACCAAATTACAGAATACACAGGCAGATTCCAAAAAAAACAATTTGTAACAATATCATTAGAGTCATGAAGGTTATTCAAAGATTCACTGGTTTTTCAAAATACATGCTTCTTTTAAAGGTTTGTGCTCGACATAGATATTATATTTGGATTTAAGATGAAAAGTTGTCTATTATTACTACTACTTGTAATAAGACTATTTGCATTGTTGGATGTTGGAAAGGGTCAATTTTATGCAAAATGTTTCATGCAAATACAAGGCTTTTTTGTCTAGCACTTTGGGTAAACCAAGATCTTCACCTGATTTGTAATTGCATCAACCTGCAATGGAAACAGATAAATAATTGCTATACAACTTTTCACACTTTTAGTAACCCAGTGTCGATGCTTCTCAAGGCAACCAATAAGATCATCTACTTTTACATATGAAGTAAAGCTGCTCAATGCCCACGGACCTTGCTGAGGTATTCCCTCATGACCTGGATGAAATATGGCATAGAAAAGTCCATGATGTTGTGCCTCCAGGCCGTCTCGAGCACCACATCTGGTCGTAAGAGGTCATAACACGAGAAGAGGCAGGCGGCAAAACACTCCTTTTTATTCTCTTGTAGAAACCAGGCCAGCAGCTCCTCAGCTAGCTCGATGTCTTTAGATTCAGATGCGTACAGCATGGCATCCTACCACACAAAATTTCATGTGTCAATATACATCCAAAAGAATCAACCATCAGATAACAGAAGATACCTTGTAGAGCTTATCCTTCTTGCACAGCTCCACACTTTGTTTCCAGCGGTTGTTACCCTTAAAGAGGTAGGCGGCAATTCTTCTGAATTCAATAAGCTCATGCTTTTCCAATTGCTGGGCCAGGGAGATGTTGTCGAAGTTGTCGCAGGCATCAATTGACGTTCTAAGTGCCTGAATAAGAAGAACGCATCACTGAGCAAAACTGAAAATGAACCAAACGCTATTACTTCATAATTCTCACTTGATAATCCTCCTCTACAATGAAGAGGTTATTAAGTGCTTCATTGACTGATTTGTTGTTGTGGTTCTGCACTGAACGCAGGTATGGTTTCACCAAAGGCAGCTGTTTAACCTGCAGACAGAAACACAATCATTAAGTACAAATCAGACAAGCATAACACAATGTGAAAAGTAGAGTTGTGTGTTCATTTCGAGTTCAATGTACATCAACCATTATCAGATGTCAGAACAATTTTTAATATACCATTTATCAACAATTAATTTTATATAATATTATAACATAATTCAATAAATGTGATTCATTGATACCTTTGTGAAGAAGTTGACCGCACGGGAGTGATCCAGTCTCGGTGAGAGAACTATGAGCAAATCATTCAGTAACAATGGTTTGAACTCCAAATAAAACTGGGTAGCCTTGTAGTACAGTTCCACATTTGCAACCTACAGAATGAAAAATATTCCTTTTAGAAAAATCCTAATTACTAAATAGCATATATTATTCTAAAAAGGTTTCATTAATGACCTTTGTGATAATGTCTTTGAATTGGCCCTCTTTCCAGGCATCTGTAGGGTGGTTCATCATAGTGATGATGGCGTTGTCGAACTCTTCATATTTGTCATAGAGGAATACAAGTTCAGCCCACAGATGTGCTTGTTCTGCTGCTCTTAGAACCTTAGGGATGTTCACTCTGGACCAGAAAAGCTCCAGATGCTCCCTCATCTTCTGGGGCTTAAACTTTGAGTAAAGAATGGCCAGCTCTGTAAACATGCCCATGTGTGCACGCTCCAGGCCCAGGGCAGCCTCCAGCATGGTGATCAGCTCCTCAAAGTAACCCCGGTCCTGGAAAAAGCAATATATGTGTGTAAAGTTAAATGCGTGAACTATGTTTCAAACAACTTGGGTGGGTTTGTTAAATCTTACTTGGTAATAGTTAATGAGCTCCTCCAGCTCATCAGCATGCACAACAATGTGGAGGCCACACATCTGAGCCAATCTGAATTCTTGTCCGTCCACACAAGCAAAGCATACTTCTTTCCAAGTGCGTGTGCTGTTGGCCTTACGAGCTCCATCCACAGCTGCTTGATACTCGCCCAGGTGCACAAGTGTTGAGGCCAAGCGGCCGAAGTTGGAGACATTGTTGTACAACAACTTAGCTGCCTCATACATTTTCTCGTCATAGCACCTATCACCAACCTATGAATATATAGAAAATCATTGCATTAATTACAACATCTATGTAAAATGCACAAATAATGAATTCACAAACCTGTTGGATGTGTGCATTGTTCGGTCCATTAATAAACTCCTCCAGTTCTGCAAGGCGATTCGTTTTTGCCAAAGCAAAGATTAGTTCTGTCTCCACATAAGACTCGCGAGCCTTCTTACGAGCCATTTGAAGAAATTTGACCAAGTCTTCCCAGTTCCCTGGAGGAAAATCAATCAAGTTTAAGTTGAGAGAATATTTACAACCATGTAAGATTCTTTTGAGCAATTTGTTTGTGTGGCTCAAACCATCTTTTGTGCAATGTTTCTTACCACTCTTATCAGCAGCCTGCACAACCTCCATATATGCAGAAGGATCATCAGCCTTGATGTAGGAGTCGATAGCTTCCTTTACCAAACCCTTCTGTAGTTGTGCCTTTGCCAACTGGCTCCAGACGGCCGGTTCATTACAGCGTTCGGCAAATTCATATGCCCGATCCAAATTTCCAATATGTTCAATAAGTACCTACAAGAACAAAACAAAAAAAATAGTTGTTAAGTATAGAAGTGTACAAATGGTTGTTCAAATGGTTGAAAACTTACTTGCACAGCGGAAGTATTGACATCAAATTTCTTAAAAATGGAAAATGCCTCCTCAAAGAGTTCGTTGCTGATTGCAATGTTTGCAATATCAGGAGCATCGTAGTTATCCAGTCGGTTAATGTACTCCATCACACGTGTGCGGTCGGCTTTGATTGCAGTCAAAATCAGCAAGTTTTGAAGATTTCTGTTTGAGAGCACATTTTAAATGAAACATGGGAAAATGTGAAAAAATTTCAAGTTTGTAATAAACCAGCACCTGTGTTCACTAAAAACAGAGTTATCCAATACAATTTTCTCAAGGAGCTCGATAAGTTCATTTGGCAGATCAGCCGTCATGAAAGCTTTGACTGTGACAGAGACCTCCTCTGGATCCTGAGTTTCTGACAATGCCGTTTGCACAACCTAAAATCAGATGCAGCATTATATCAAGTGTTGTGAATATCTGGACAAACAAAGTGACACGGCACCATGACACTTACCTGATCAATGAGAGGTCGTCTGAATGGGTTGCTCTCCAGGAGAACACTTGCCCACAGGTCTGGGTCTTTGCGGCGGACCAGGTAACGAGACAAACTTTTGAAAAGAGAATTCTCATTGCAAACCTGAAATTATATGTGTTAGAATATTTAATTTCAAGAAACACAATCAGAATTTTTTTTTCCCCAAAGCAGATCATTCTCACATTGATCAGTTCCTGGTCACACTGGCCTCTCTCATAAGCCACACATGCCAGATGAGGGTCTCTCTTCTCACAGTACTTTCCAACCACACGACTGTCATAGAATGGGTTTTCCCTCAAGAAACGCTCAGGGTTGTTGTTGCTGTCAATATAAATCTTAGCCAAAGCATTGTGGGTAGCAGGCTCCTCACAACCTTCATGAATACGAGACTCCAGCCAAGGCAAAAGCAGCTTCAGTCTAAAGAATTTATATGATATGTGAGTAGGTAAAAGAATACAAGCATAATAAAACATTAACTATACGCAGTAAATAAAAAACCAACCTGTTTCGCTTTTCAACTTCTGCCACAAGTTCATCAGTGGAGAACTGTCCTCTGACCACAAGGATCAGACTCTTGATGACATCTTCAGAGCAGTCCACATCCAAAAGCCCTCCGACCACAACAGGAAGGCGGCTAGGATTGACCTTGCACATGGTATTAAAAACAGGTGAATATGTTTTCATAAACATTTAGAGTTTACACCTCTAAAACCTAGAACTAAAATGGCTTACCTTCTGCACATAGATCTCAATGTACTTCTGAAGGTTGTTGCGATAAAGATATAGAACCAAATCATGAACAAAGTCAAAACGATCACAGACGATGATCAATGGGAGCTGGTCAGTCAGTTTTGCCTCCTGTATAAGGGAAAACATTTTCACGTTTAAAAACAAAAAACAAAAACTGCTGTGGCACTAGAGGATGATTTGTCTCTTGGTAAGAATCATCATTTGCTTAATGTAAATAAGGGGATGTTATATGTAAAACAAAATTAATCCTCATGCTTCACCTTTAAGAAGTTCTTGACCCGCTCTGGGTCGTAGCAGTTGCTCTCTCTGCAGATCCTCTCCACCTCTTTGATCTGGCCAGTCTTACAAGCAGCCTGAATGTATTTGAAGTGCACTTCAGGATCCTGACTGAAGTTCACAATGGAGCCCAGGAAGTAAAACAAACCTGTAAAACACAATTCCACAAATTTAGCACCAAAGATGAATGTTAATCAGTTCACATTCCATGAAAGAAATACATGTCTAAAAAAGGAAATGATAAAATGTATCAATCACCTTCGAAGCTCTTGAAAGATTCGAACAGCTCGGTCAAGGACTGTGTAGTGAGCTGCTCGTGGTACTTGGATGCCACCTGGACACAGATCTGCAGGTTCTGACGGATGTTAGCTGACAACATAGCCCTCAGGCACTCTAAGGAGTCCTCCACTGATAGGGAGCCAAAGAAGTTAACCAACCACTAGGGTAAAAGGGAAAAAATATGTATTAGTCCAAGGCATGATGCTTTTAAACATTAGTGCGTCAGTCCCACATTCAGACAAATACCTCAGGGTTTAAGAGGTGTGTGTGCACCACTGCCCGCTTGATGTCATAAAGGTCCGTGTAGTGCTCCAAAGCCCTCTGCAGCAAGCCGGCTTTTTCACAAAGTTGGGCAATGTGTGGACGGTCGTAGTTGGTGAACATTTGATTCCCCAAGATGGCATCAGCAACCTAGCGAATAATTATTATTTGAGAAAATGCAGAAACTGAAACAGTGCAAGAAATGGAAGCTGAAACCCATTGATATCATAATTGAATAATAAATATATGCATGTACACTACTGCCTTAACTACCTGAGGAGCATGCATGAGGTTCATTTCCAGGAGTCGAGTCTGCAGTGGTCCTTCAGAGGGGCGGTTATTCTTGAGGGCATCGAGGAGGAAGGAAGTGCATTGCTGTATCAGGTTATACTCCATGAACACATCCACTATCTAGACACAAAGAATTAAGTTTAGATACGTGCAAACTGCATAAAGTAAACTCCTGGTCAATTGCCTGACCAGCCAGAACCACATGATTTTACAATAGATTTTGCCAACAATGCGAGGGTCTGGATCTCTGTGGAGTGAGACCTGTTGGCTTGTATTTTATTATGAATGGGACAGTAGAATTAAGAGCCAATGGGCTTGGTCCCAGACCCTTGCATTCCAATAGTATGCTGGACATATTCGTCTTGGTATGAATTCCCATGTTTTGAAATGTAAGTACAAAATGTTGACCTGTGTGATGTCAGCCAGAGGCTCTTCATCCTGTACAAGCATCTGGGCAAACTGCAATCCTTGGTCGGGGTTTATTCTCATCACATTCCTCAGCAGAAAGATCCAGTCAGGTGTATATCCCACCTAAAAACAACCATTATTATTATTATTATTATCATTATTAACAGTTTCATTAATGCGTAGCAAATAATTAATAGACAATGAACAGACCTTCTTTGCGTAAAGTACAATCTTGGGAAATTGTCCAGTCTCTGCAAAGCACTGAATAACCTTGTTGGGTACATTTGCTCTGAGGTAGACGCTCAGAGCTAAGGTGGGATCCACTGCTTTCACCAGGTCGCCCAGTTCTTCAGAACATTCCAACTGAAACACATAATATCAACCTCAATGCATTACGTGTGTAAGGAGGTGTAAACAAAACTGCAGGAAAATCCCCTCCCGGTTCCTGTTTGGAGCTACCAACATGGTATTGTGAATACCTTGTCTTCCTTAAGCCACTTCTCAAGGAGTTGCTTTCGCCCCTGTTGCAGCACAGGCCTGCAGAGCTCCAGAGATTCAAACTTATTAAGCTGACCCTGGTCCAGAAGGATCCCAAAATACTGTAAGAGTGGAGATGTCTGGCCTTGCTGTGTTGGAACACTCTGGAATCGACGAATGGTGTCTGGAGTGCGCAGGATCCCCTATGTAACCAAAAACAATACAATTTGTATAACCAGACAACAAAATGTCAAAATGCAGAGATTCATCTAGAACTGAGGGTACCTTTGGGGCATTCGCAGCAACTTTTGCAGCCTCTGAATAGTTTCCAGCCGCAAAAAGGTTGTTGAATTTGCGTGCAAAAAGTTCTTCCGCACCAGCTAAATTGTTGCGAACAGCCAAACGAAGCGCCAAATCTGGGTTTTGTAGAACATTATTGATGTAGGGTATGATATTCTCCTCTTCAACACAGACGGAAAGCACCTGTTTATAAGAAAAATGTATACCTTTTGTTAAATAATCCACAAACAATAAAACTCAGCAGTAAACTTAATACTGTACAGTGAAAGGTTTTGGTTCACTGACGCTAATAAGTCATGAACTGTGGCATACAAGGCTTCTGAGGAAGATCAAAGTAACGGATTATAAAAAGCCCAATGAGCTCCACAGCTCAAGCAGTATTCCAACATACGGATACATTTGCATATCAGATAAAGGCTCTACCGCAAGACTGGTAACCATATTTAGGATGAGAATCCACACATATATTCTGTTTAACAATACCATATCAACTCTTGTCTTTCTATTAGCAAATAAATTAGACTAATGACTGTCTGGGAACAGAATGCGACGTTGAAGTGACCCACATGCACACAGAAGACACATGATGCGTAACATCACAGGACTGCACTGTCCAAGTGAATGAACTGTAAACTCTTGGCTTTCAAGCTGAATACTACAAGTCTCATCACTGCAGAAATGACATGTAGAAATGACATGCATGAAAGTATACATGCCGATAGAACAAGCAGGTCCAGTCTTATCTCAAGCAAGAAATAAGTCAATCTTATTTTGACAATGTTTGCCTATATCAGTATTGTAGAGATGCACAAGTCAGGCCTTTTTCCTAACCTGTCCTGCATTCCTGTCACAGTCTGCTCCACATAATGGGATCCATTATTATAGCATTATGAGAATTAAAAAAGGCTGAACATTTGATTCAGTCTGAAAATGAAGATAAACCACTGAAGTTTGCATCCCCTACAGATCAGTTTCCACTGCTTTGCTAAATTATTCATATGGAGCGTGGCCCAACTGAATCATTATTCATCAGCTGGTGGACTCCAGTTTCTACTCTGGTTCAACAAAGGCCGCAGGAATCAAGCCACACTGGCCTACCCTCGAGAAACACAACCCATGGGATTATCTCCATTCAGTCTTGGCAAAGTTTGGACGTGCCTAATGTTGATTGATAGACTACGGTGACAAGATTAGTGCTACTTATATGTAAGTGTAAATTGATGAATAAATGTTTTTTTTTTGGTCAAACTCAGATTATCCAGGTTGCAGTCTTACCTGTCCCTTTCTGTTAACGCCAATAATGCCAGAGGTTGGCTCATGTGGAGCTGTTACAAAGATGGTCTCTCCGCTGATGCGATTCATGTAGATGCAGGTTCCAGTCTCCAGGTCATATAGGTGGATGTAACCATACTTGGTTATCAGGAAAACAACATTGTGTTTGGAGCTTATCTGCAAAACAATAAGTATTTGTTATTGAAAGTGATCGTGTACTTAAATGTACAACAGTTAAATTAAATGCATGAATAACTTGGGTTAGGGACATTGCCAAGTTTTGTATCATTACATTTAAGTTCCTTATGCATAAAAATAGTTTCTAACCCAATTCTTGATGTAAAAGACATCAGAACAAACTTAAAGTAAATTAAGAAAACACGCATTTGATTCAAGTTAAAGTATTCCATTCCCCTTGGATTTGAAGTATGTAAATGTATACATACTTGCATTGCCACTGGGAAGTCATTCTGTGCCTCTGGGGGGAAGAAGACATCAACCGCTTTCTTTGGAAAGGGCTGGTTTCCAGTTGGTGGGGCGCCAACCTCAATGATGTGCAACTGCAGACAACAACTTTTAGAAAAAATCTAAGGATGTTTTTGGAAAAAGTGTTTTGTCTGTCAGTACCTTTCCACCAGCCTGGCCTCTGACAGCAAAGCAGAACAATGTAGATTCCTCTGCATTGCCTTCCATCTTGAACTGGGCAAAACTGGCAGCATGGCCTTCAATGGGCTGGGAAACCTTTCTGTCTACAGAATAAAGCTGCATGGCTCCAACCACACGATTTTGCTTTGGAGTTTAAAACAAAATTGTTAAAATATGTCTGAATATATACAGAACCTTGAATATTTGTATGTGCATTACCTGTGCTGAGATACCAATTAACAAAAGCCATTTCTGTTTGGCATCCGTGCGGTAGTTGATAATCTGGCAGCCTGCGAGGCTGGAGTGGCGATCAAACACTTTGACCGGCTGAGAATCTCCCTCCATGCTCCAGTGATACACCGCAGTGTCGGTCACAAGTGCAACGGTGTTCAGGGAAATCCACTTCCAGAACGTAACATCATCGGTCATTGTGTGTGCCTTCATCTTGCTCTTCATCTCAATGTTGAAGATCTGCAGTGTTTTGGCAGCTAAAGAACACATTATTTATTAATCTTTTGTAAGAATTGTAAATATGTTCAGGTAAAAGAATAGATATGATTATAAAAGTTTAAGAGTAGCAGTCATGATATAAAGTTCAAGCATTGGCAGTGGCACCATGACTGACAGATAGAAGATGCCGTTCATGCGGAGTTTGAAGCGGTGTCAGGAGTACTTAACATGAATCACTAAAAAGGCAATTCCTGGTAATATAATATATATAAGTGATTTTTTTCCGTCCATTAAAACATGGAGTCTCATACCATCAAAACAGATTATCAAATGGCTATGTATAATTTTTTCTCTATAAGCCTTCAACGTCATCTAAGCTATAAAACAAAGGAGAGAGCAGAAGAGACTAGTAGAAGCTAGAAAAAAGCACCTTAATCAAAAGCACAAAGTCTGGACTGAAGTCACTACAAATACCAGCAGCCAAACTGATCACTTAACCCTGATGGTCAACTAGTCCACACTATTACACCGCTGAATAGAAGATTGAATTGTTGCGGTATACTCACCTGGACAATGCTTCATTAGTTGGAATTAACCAAGCAAGCGTATGCTTTATTACAGCAATGTGAAAATTGTTTGTTGATTAACATTTGATACATGGAAAATTAATAAAAAGCGGATGCAAAATAATAATTTCAGAAAGACGAATGAAAAGACTAACAGCAGTGTCAAGAGACACTTTTAGGTTGTAGGCAAACCAACTGAAGAGTTGTCACATAAAACTTTAAATAAATATGAATATGTGCATGTAATTTCGTAGGTAATTCAGTTAATGAAACTGATGGTGGGCGTAGAAAAGTTTAAATCTGGTTTACTGCTCGATAAATCTAAGCTTGATTAAAACGGCAATGAACTGTATGCCAAATGTAACCATGATATAAATGACCAGATAACACATTATCGGCAAGTAACATGTGAGATGAGAATGGCTATTGGACAATTTGTGTACTATGACAACTATTAGAAAATTGAAAGTGACATAAGCCTATTATTGTAGCCATTATTAAATCACTTGAACACAGTAAGACAAAAAATGCCAGCAAGCTATTAAGTTGTGGAGGAACAACCCTGTTATTGAACAATCTGTCAATGTTATAATTATATTACTGCCATTTTTTGGTGTACTTCAGAATAGTTTGACACTTTGGCAGGCACACTTAAATCTGGGGTAACCAATTTTTCTTTTTCAGGCTACAACATGCGAGCGAGCTGATTGGCCAAGTAAAAGCTCTTAATATTCGGTCTGACAGACGCCATAAATACAGGCATGTGAAAACAATAGCAATACAACCACACCATTTCAAAAGTGAGGATCTAGTTAGATTTTATGTCATAGTTCATTGTTCTTGTTTGAAATTTAGGTATCCCCAAGTTTAAGCAAGATTAATTTGAAGGAGATAAAACTCTTGCCAGATATTTTTCTTAAACAGGATGTTACTTCCACATAAACTGTAGTTAAATTGAACTCACCGTCTGCAAACACATAAGAAAGCAGTAAAGAAACAAAAGACAAACAAAACAAAAACAACAGAAAGTCAAAGCAATCATGAATGCGCCACAACATACTGTAGTTGCATCTATCTATGACAAATGCCAATTTAATAAGCAAGTCACTTAAACTAGCACAAGAGAAACTTAGCTGAATGTAGGGGTGGGCGATATGGCCTAAAATTCATATCGCGGTATAATTTGGGTCATAGACGGTAGACTGTATATATCGCGGTATAATTTGGTGTGTGAATTTCAATATAGGTCTAGCAGGTTCTTGCATAAAATAGTCAAGATTGTTAATTATTTATATATTAGAATCTAATATATATTTTTTGAGTTAGAAAATCAGTTGTGAGACGAATAAAGAGACAAATAACATACATTATTTATGTATGTTACAGTAAATACCATTCACTGTAAAAGCAATTTTTAAAAAGAAAAACATATGCATTCATTTAAAATATAAAAAACTCACAAATGATGAAAACAAAGTCTGTAGGAGTGTATGGTCATTATTTATAGTGTCTGAGAGTTTTGTGCAGGTGCATGACTTCAGTAAAAGCTGTTTGTTTACAAAGCTGGTCTTGCCATTTGTTGACGCTCCCTAAGCGCTTTTCTCTGCGCTGGATGATTCAATGGATTTTATGTTCATTAAAACAGCGCATTGGATTTGAACAATTGATGTAAATGATCATTTTGGCACAAATAATTTTGTTTAACAAAGTAGCTTTCGTGAGATATTGACCGCGGAGGTCCGAATCTGACGCAAACTTTCCCAAACTTCTGATGTGATGCTGCTGCGGACACGGCACATGGATCTATTTTGGCTCACGCTGGCGCTTCGAGCTTACGCCCCTTTGACACCGATTGGCCAAAAGGTAGACTCTTAAACTGTGATTACTGTGTGTGTATTTACCTCTGCTGGGGCCGCTGTGACAACAATACAGAGACAGAAACACGGTGTTAATGCCGTGCTGTTGTTCGTTGTTTCCAGTGGTGTCCAATAGTGCTAGGCTAATGTGCTAGGCTAATAGTGCTAGGCTAATGCTGGTTTGTTTTGGTGCTCTCTGCTGGCGTCAGAGCCTGCGCAATTTAATGACATAATGACGTATCGCAATATGCCGGTATAACAAAAATCTCTACCGTGGGCCAAATTTATACCGTCTACCGCTTATACCGTTTATACCGCCCAGCCCTAGCTGAATGTGAATAATAAAACAGGTGGCAGAAGTTTACAACATCTGGTCTAATAATATTACAGGTTTTTAGCTTACTGTAAATGTGTATGACAACAACTATACTAACAACAGTTACTTGAGCCTTTACTGTTTTAATGAATAATTCTTGACATAAACAGCATGGTCAAAGTCAATAGGACATACCTTTCAGAGCAATGACCTTGCTGGCAGGGTTCATGATGGCGCTGTCCGCAGAGATAGGTCTCCGAATGGGGGTATTGGGGTCGGCCAAGTCAATGATGACCACCTGGCTCTGTTCCCCCACCTTCTCCCGCACACAGATGAACTTGTCAGACTCCATGGTGAGAGTGCTGAAGCCAATGTTAGCCGGATTGATGCCCAGGTTTTGGAGCTTAAGGAAAAAAATAAAACATGGATAGTGTTAGAATCACAGACTGGAAACTCTTACATTAGTCTCACTGATGTTCCCATTTCTTCTGGTGTTAAAATGTGCATTTATAGTTATAAAACACCTAAAGCCTGTGAAACAGTAAGTGTGAGACTTTGACCTCAGCTTTTGCACAGCATGACCAGTATGTAGTCATGAGTGCGGGGGAGAGTAGTCTGTTGGGACAGGGAGGAGAGCAAACGCCTACTTCTGGAGAGAAAACCACAGTATTTCCCGTCTTCAAAAAATTGGGGAAAAATAATCCAATTTAATGTCAATAAAATTTCAATAATTATAAAAAACAAAAAAAAGTAAAAAAACACCTTGCCTAGTCTACTGAATCCTGGCACACTAGAAGTGGAAATTTTGTTTATATATAAAATCACAAAACTTTCACATTCTGGTAAATTTGTAGCATTTTTAGTTGTATGTTTAAAGCAAATCCAAAAACTAATTTTTGATTCATTGCCACATTATTGAAATACTATAAAGATATGTTGTCCTTAACTACCTCTGCTAGACACTGTTCTACCAGAATTCAAACCACCACATGGGTAAATACTCAAAATTAATCATTTCTAATGAGCTTCTTCTGCAGCGACAGAGACATGGTATGAAGTAATACGAAGGAAACGAAACTACTACATCTTGACCAGCAATTTCACAACTTCCTTGGTTTTGCAAACCATTAAATATGTATACCATAACTACACAATAGCTAAAATAATTATATTTCTCCTGCACACACCCTATCTAAAGACAGTTATTTTTTAATGTGTTTAACTGTGCATTTAAGATTCATTGAGTCCTAATCAGCAAACACAAACACACAGTTTAACGAAATGTGTCCACCTTTATCACTTAATAGCCACACCCTTTGGCGGCCTTGGAACACCCACATTCTCTGACATTGGCTGACATAAGTTGTTCTCAGTGGCATTGGGTAAAATCTCTACCACAAAAGTGTAGTAGTATGATCAAGAGGAAGTCAATGAAACAGGATTGGAATCAGACTTTCAGCCAGTGACATCCCTACGTAACTGGCTGAAATGTATCTGTATGTACTGTGTCTTTGTTTTTACCCAGGCACAAGGATTTTACAAATGTCTTTGTGGAAACCCAAACAAAATGTCGCATTTTAATACAGAACCAGATGTTGTAAACTTGTATTTACCAAGCTAATGACATAAGGGAAGAGGAATTTGAGTAAAAGCAGGTCAAACCAGTGGAGCCACAAACAATGTGGAAAATTATTTATTCTAGCCCGTCCAGGTCTGGTGACTTTGAATTGTGGGCGAAGACTGATATAATTGTCTACAAATAAGGACATTTAGAATAGTAGTATAAACTGTGGCTATCCCTTTCCTGAACTGCCTCTGGAGTGCATTTGTTGGTTTATCTTTAAGTTCTTCCTTCGTAGAAAAGCATCATCTGGCTCAGCAGAAAAATTGCTCAATGTATCCTGAAAACGATGAGTTCAAGGCAGTGCAGGGAAGGATGTGCTGTGTAATGTGCTGAGGCTTGCAGCGCTCGATGGCAGTGCTCCACAACAGGAAACCAGGGACCCATTGTATACTGGGACTGAAATAACAGGCTGGTCCAAGCACTGCCTCCTCCATAACCATGTGATCATAGTGGGTGACATGTGACCAACACAGTCTGATAAAGCACTGGGATAAAAGGCTTTAGGGCTGGCACTTCTGAGGAGGTTCAGAGTTTCCCCTGTCTTGTAAATGCTCTCGTTTGCAAATGTAGAATGTCCAGTGTTCAGCATTTCTGCATCCTCACCAGCTCGTCACGAGATATCAGCTGGACCTGTCCCTACCTGGTTCAAAGTGCATGGATGATACCTAACCCAATATGACACAATAAACATGCATGCCTCTGCTTCTGTGGAAGAATACTACGCCAGATCATTTACAAGTCATCAAAAATGAAAGGACAATTGGATTGAAGAAAAATGGCTAACATTATCCAAGCATAGTGGTTTACTACTACTACTATTAGCAGATACGTTTATTAAATCAAAAAGTGAAAATGCAAAAGGAAATGGTGCAGGTTGTTCTCATAATATTAGTAAGAGACTAGAAAAGCCTGTAATGCCAAGTTTGTTATGTTGAAAATAATGATTATATAAACATGACAAATTTAAAAGATTACATTGAATGATCTCATTCGCTAATATTCTCACAAATCTAACTGGCATTTGTCATGTGAATGTGCATACTACACCTCTTTAAATGGATGATGTATAAAATGCAAGCACAGCATAATGATCAGTACTTGACTCAACTCAAGGAGCACATTGGCCAAAATAAAATGCATTTATGAGATGGTTCAGCTATAAACAAAAAAATGCAAATGTCAACAAAACTAAGATTCAAAATTAAGAATGGGTATAGTAAACATGCCTTAAAACCAAATTACCAGTTCAGAAGACCACAATATGCTCAACAAGGCCTTTGCGTTTGAAGCATATGCAGATCATACATTAGTCAGAGCAATTTGACCTTATGTCCAAATGGCACAAATCAGAGAACAGGATACGTTTATCCATTTAAATTACAAAAGATAGTACATCAATAGTAAAGTCATCATTATCTGTGACAAGGGGTAGATATCCATCTTAAAAAGGTCAAAAAGACTTCTGCAAGTCAACAGGCCCTTTGACTGAAACTGCCTGTTGGAATGGTATATCGGATAACTTGTAATAATAATCTGGACCAGGAGACCCATGTATAATTAATTCATTACATCTTGTAAGCCAGTCTCCACACAAATGGTTACAATGCAGTGTTCTAGTTTCACACAGGAAGATTGGGACTATTTAGGCATTTATAGTGTTACAAATGCATATTAAGTGACACAATCAACTATTAACATTTCAGACAAATCCCACAAAACACACGACAGATCTAAAACTAACTACCAAACTACCAAAACTAGCTACCAACCCCCCCCCCCCCCAAAAAAACTAGCTACCAACCCCCCCCCCAAAAAACATGAATGCATGTCAAATCGGCAATAAGATACTGTAAAATGTACTCTCAGGTCACATAATTTTAAGAAGCAGCTGAAAAAACCCAAACATTCAAAGTAAAGAGGGCTTTTACACTTTTTGGAAATATAATGCATAATAATGATATATGATTGTACATGTGTATGCGTGATTTACATTAGGATTATTATTTCCTTAATGAATTACACAACTAACCTACATCAATACAGTACAATCATAGTCGATGCGAGTGAATAATGAAAACACCTCGATGTTAATTCGAGCTGTGAAGTTGCAATAATATGAATGCCGATAACATCTAGACTACATGTATTTAAGGAACGCTATAATTGAAAGGAAGAGTTATAAATCATTAAAGTTAGCAGTCAGGCTAGGTGCTAACTATGATAAACGTCATCCACCCAACCAAGCCAGTTAGCATAGCCGGGAAAAGCTAACTTAGCTTGTTAGCTCCGTTCACAACTATAAAAATAGACTTAAGCCCAAAGTCCTTCGTAAAGACACCCGAAACTCCTATGTGGAAAGACAGACACGCCTAAAACATCTAAATGTTCATTCATGTACAAACCTGCAGGTGCTCCTGAAAGCGAATAGGTAAGATCTGAGCCATGGCGGTGCCCGTGACTCTCCTCCGGTGTCTTCAAATGCTAACCTATTACTTATGTCTCTCAGATCCCAGACAGCCAAGCAGTCGCTAATCTATAGTCTGAATGTTTAAAGGGCCGAATATGTGGTGTCAATCGTATGTTACTTTCTATTTGTACCCGGGCTGTTTCCTTAGGGCTACCCTTGGCTAGACTGGCTGCCACTACACCTCCCTAGACCTGGACCTGCAATGGCGGTGGAGGCTGGTCAGCGCAGAAAACATCCCGGAAATGGAAGTGAATTCATTCAGGCGGAGGAATACTGACCTGTAAAACTATATCATTTTGCAGAACTCACCAAAAATAAACATATTCAACATTATAATGTTATTCTTTTATGTGTCTGTTGTATTAAAATTACACGACATGGCAGTTTAGTGCGCGTACAAATAAGCAAAAGTGGAACTATTTCTCTTGTTTCGCCGTTTGATTTTTGCCACATCATTCGTCTTCGTAGTTCGACGTCATTCCTACGCGCTGTGCACTTGTTCCTTTCAACCAATCACCAAAGAACCACAGAATCTTTGGATGAATGACGGCGATGGGAATCGTTCATTAGGTGAACTAATAGATCCTTGGCTTGTAAAAAATATTCTCAGATTGTAAGATTATGTCTATTTCATGTATTTGGTGTAATTATGTATTCCTGTAACGCATCTGAAAGAGCAGCTTTTTTTTCTGACTTCCGCCACCAGAAAACTCAAATAAACAGAAAAATGATCAAAACAAATATAAAATATAAAGTAACAATTCCATTAGTGTCCTAGAAGCAAGGGCTGGGTCAGTGTTTCTAAAACTGTGGTAATGTAAGTTCAGCCTTAAAAAGGCTAAATAACATCCCCATTCAAATACCTCATTATAATTAAGCCAAAATCACAGGTGTTGAACGCAAGGCCCGCAAAATCATTTTAGTTACATAATGTTCAATTATTTAGGTACATGAGTTCTTCGGCACTGTTTTAAATCATAAATCAATTGTTTATGTCTCTTTTGATATTCTATTTCACTTTGCATTGTTTAACTCTGTAAGAAATATAGCTATATTTTATTCTATTACAGTAATTGAATATATCTTTGACATTTGTATCCCCTTGTATAATCTGACCTTCATATTTTCTATTACTGCAGGAAACATTATTTTCTGAAGAACTGAACCATGTTCTACCCTCATTCTTTCTACAATCTATTTCTTAAGCATGAGTCATTGATATCTCAAGTGATGACGTCTCTGTTCTTATGCACATTTGTACACATCATACAAAAAGCTGTGTCTTACTTTGCTCAAGAAGATTGCTGCTGCCTGTCTTCATTTTTCGCTCCCTTTTCATTCAAAAGGGAAAATTCTCTTTTTATATGTTCAATATTCCATCATCAATATTCAGAGAGTAAAGTGTAAGTGTAACGTTTTGCAGCAATGAATGTGAAAATTCTATCAGTTTTCAGTTGCTAATTTTGTCAGTGCAAGAAATGTAAAGTGAATCTGACTGACTATTGTATTTGAAACTATATGAACATAAGTGCAATAAATATTAACAAGGTTATATATAAACTTAAACAGAAAAAGGAATTCATAATAAAATGTATTTAGACATAATTACAAGTTACACACAAACATACACACAAACTTAAATGGTCAAAAGGCAAAGTATAGAAGATGGGCTAGAAAGCCAGAAGTCAATGGATTGCATCAAGACAGAAGGGAGTTCAAGTTTGGGGAAGCAAGGATGCAAAAATATATGCTGACACTCCGAAGGGAAATGAATCATTTATTTTGCAACAACTTTTACTGACTATAGCTTGCAAAAACCTAAAGCTACACATAGCATTAGTTGGGTCATTTATACATAAAAAAACACACATTATCACAATTTATTCTGTTGTCTTACATTGCTTTGCCAATTTATTCATATGCAGTGTTTTTTTTAGGTTACATGCTTTGGTTCTCTGTTCATAACAATGTTTTTAAAAGTCACAGCTCACCATTTGTTTCAATATATAGACAACTGTATGATTTGTTGTCTTAAAATGTTCATCATTGCTTAAGCTGCAGCCTAATATAACACCACTGATGTCTAGTCTCTCTCATGCAAAGCCAGCTGAAGCCCCAGTTTGTTTGATGATCTTATTACCGAGGCAGTGAGTGTAGTGAGGGCTATCCTGAATGACCTATTCACACTGCGGTTGCCATGGATTCAAAGGCACATAAAACAGACACTTTTCTCTCAGAGAGGCTGTGTGCTGCGATAAAAGGGCGACCTTCTGGCTTTTTGCTAAGATGCATAAACCATTTAGGCCTCAGACTGACCACCGATATTCATCCTTGGTTTTTGGGAGTTTGGAGTAGGCTTGTGGAGAACAAGGGTGCAGATGGGTCTTCTGATGTGTCAAAAATGGAATCAGTGATGTATGAAATTCAAATTATGCATAGACTTCAAAAGCAGTATTAATGCTGCTGCACCGTTATGCTGTAAGTCAAATAAATGTATGTTGTCAGTCCGTTCTACTGACAACAATAATTTACAAGTTTTTTTACGTCAAGAGTTACAGTGACCATTTACATCGAAGATCAGAACAACAAATCCGACCTTCTAAATGATGCCATCTTGTGGACTCAGCACACAACAGTAAAGCCCTCATGTTTACTGCAGATCATTTGACAGGCATTCTGTAAAAGTATGTTGTCATCATTTGCATAATCAATGTTTTTCAGGGTTCTGTTGATCAATTGATTTAAACATTTTTACAATCGTATGTCTTTTGACTTTTAATATTTAGTCAGATATGGGTGCCTTATGTTCTTACTGTCCATGTTCTACAATAATAATAAAACCATGTGTTGCCAGAAAAATCTCTTCACTTTTTAGCAGGGAAAACCTTATTCAATTCCATGAAATTGTTCTTGTGTTTAAAACTATTCATGGTTTGGCTCCTCCACTTCTTCGAGAATTTGTGGAGCAGAATGAGACTCGGGCTTAGTGCAGAGGTACTGTATCTGTGATGTTCCTTGTAGAAAAATAACATTCAAGCAGATGAACTTCCCTGAAGGCCACACACTCATGGAACACTGTCTCAGTTCACATTAGGGACATTACAACACTGACAACCTTCATAAGGTTTGTCAAACTGTGGTTCTTGGGCAATCAAAGCTGCAGTCACAGTGCGAACTATTCTGTGCATGTTTATGTTCTTGTCAGTGTCTGTGTTATGTTTCTGCTTTTACTAACACATGTCTTATGTGGCATTTCATATTTTGCTTTGTTTTCAGATGTAACATCAACCTGCCATGGGTCTACAGATGGATTTAGCCTGGATAATTATGTTCTTATCTTTTAACTCTATCCTATGTTTGTATGATTGTGAGCAAGGGACCAATGCACAATTTCCTTTTTGGATCAATAAAGTATGTATGTATCTTTCTATCTATCTTGCATATTTAAATGGAAACATGTTGGTTAAAGTGAGCCGTCCCATTTAAACAATTTTCAGCTTGAAACTAGAACTGTAGTTGTTAACATAAATAATTGTAATTTCTTTAGATTTCAGAAGGGGAAAACTAAAGTATAATGTTTTCATAATTAATAATAGAAATAGCACACATTGTTTACAGAAAAGTTATTTAAAAGGACATTCTTGTTCAAAATCTTAAAACTTTGGGTGCAAACTAAGTGATTTCCAATTTAATTAAAATAGTATATGTGGATAAAGTATTGGTTGGTTCTCCTCCAACTTGGAGGCAATGTTGTTAAGCAACAGTTTATCTCTGCTTTGACCCTGACTTCACTGATACATTCTCCAAATAAGTATTTAGTCCATACCACAGACAAAACAATTAAAGATAAATAAAATGACACCGTTATGCCGACATGCCTCACAGATTAAACATTAATCATCGAAGTGCTGGGAGGAGTCAGTCCTTGAAAGTCTTTTCTTCTACATTCACTGTCACCGGATCATGATGGGAAATATGGACCAGAGGACGACAAACAAAGGTACACATTTACTTCTTTGAGCAGAAATGTTTAAACACAATTTTTAAAACATAGTAATAACTCTGATTTAGAATTGAAATAGACATTCACTTATACTTTCAAATATGTTGTGCCTTCTTAAAGTACCTTGCTGTTATGGGTGGTACATGTTTGGTAACTGACACAAACAGTATTGTGTATATTATCTTTCATTGGGATCCAGGAGCCTGCAAAGGGAAAGTCAAACAGTGAGCTATTAGCTGGACATAAGCACTCAGCACAGAAGAGTTTGGAGAGAAGAGAATGTTACCCACAGTTGTCCTTGTTTAGTGAACCCTGAGCAAACAAAACATGTGAGCAAGGACTCTGCCTCACAGAAACAGACAGTCGTTTTGTGAAACACTAATACACTGGAAATAAGTTTAAAATGCAGGACAAGAGAGGGGTTCATTTGGAGATCACCCTGGACGATGATGATTTATGTCACGCTTTTTTAGTTTTGGTCCCTTTTTCCAACAGCTTCATTAGGATCAGATTCATCTCAGTTTGGATTGTCAAAAATCAGAAAATCCTCGCCACAACATTGGCCACTGAGTCGACAACATTCAGATAATTAATGCATGTTTGACAATCATACATTTGGTTTTTGTAATTATTTGGAGAAACTAAATATTTTTTTTTTTTTATCATTATTACAATACAACCCATCTACTATTACACTACTTTTACATATGTAACTACCAAACAATTACTTTCTTGTTATTAGAATACCACTTGCACTGCTACACACTTTCTTCATTTATTCTTTGCCACTAGATGTCAGTGTTCTGTTTTTTGGAAATCTTTTCCACTTGCATTCATTTTTGTGTGTTAAATCCCATGGAGATTGTTTAAATGTGTTTTATCATGATTTACAAGACCAGAATCTGCCGGTGAATTTTTTGTAAAAAGATATACATTATTCCAAGTGAAATGTTTGTCTTCAGAGACTGGTCAGATACTTGTTGTGTAGGTTCTTCCAATCGGCCCTTCCAAAGGTTTATTGTTCAGGATCATGTGTTTCTGATGCATTGACATATAATTAGACAATGATTATTACAATAATAATTTTAGGATGTCTTGACAGCACAATCCATTTGCAGTATTTGATGTGCACAGAGCAAAGATATTGTTACCTTTTCCCAACTTTTATCTTTTTTTCCATGTAAACACAATGTTTTGAGGCTGTTGTTACATAAATACTACCTCATCAATGGGGCACAAGTTTGCTACTTTTGAGGCTTTCGGAGCATACCAAGGGACGTGTAAGATAACAGATTTTCCAGGTCTTGTAATTGTGTGTACCTGTAGAATGAGCAAAGACTAATCACAGCCGGGCAAACCCAGTTTTATGGCCGACATAAACTGCTGGTGTCAAAGTTGACTGTTGCTGTTCTCACTCCGCAGTTGCATTTCAGATGCTCAGTAGTGCAACTTTCCACAGCATGCAAGAAGTTTAGCCAACATCTGATTTGTTCTGGATTGTTGCAGTATATTTTATGTTTCTATTTTATATATGCAGGTTTTGTGAATAAGATCTTCACAAGGTAAGCATGAAAACTTCTTTACCAAACTTGCTAAATTTGAATAGTGTCAATATTGAAACTCTGCATGAGATGAGATTGGCTTCATACTTTCTGAAAGAGTAGGCCACAAATTCATAGAATAATTGTCTTTATTTTTTTTCATTATCAGATAGTAAGTACACTATAATCATTTCTTGTCAACAGAAAAATAGCGTGCAATCCAAAGGGGGGAATAGATAACCCGGCCATGGATGTCACCGATGACACAGGTATGTGGTCTGCTCAATCATACCAGATAACAGATCATTATTGCCCTGTAACAAACAAAGAAATACACATATTTGAGTAGACTCTCTGGTACCCTACCCACGCTTGTGTGTTCTCAAACGAGAACTGGAGGAGTCTTACGGCTTCTACCTCAGAATGGAGCGAGGACAGAACGGCCACATCATCAGAAACATCACACCAGGAGGGATTGCTGAGCGCAGTGGGCTCAGGGATGGAGACAGACTTCTGGAAGTCAACTGCTGCTTTGTGGATGATGTTTCACACCAAGAAGTGAGAGACAAATGTCATGTATTCACTAGATAATAATAAAATACTGAACCATTCACAACTTTAATCAGGTTTCCAGACGGATTTCTTTGAGTGGAAATCAGATGTCTTTATTAGTGTTGAGTGGAGATGAATATGAACAGTTAAAGTCTAAAAATGATGACCTTAGACACTTAGCCACAGTCACCAAAAATGAGGACTACAATCCCCCAAGACTCTGTCATATAAGGAAGAACCCTCCTTCTGGTCTAGGAATCACTTTTGCTGCTGTGGAAGGTGAGGAGAACCCCAAATTAAAATGTATTTGTTGTAGATCAATTGCTCTTTTTGGATTTTTAGGCCAAAAGGGACATTTTTCTGTGAGCCTTGTCACTGGAGGAGCAGCTGAGAAGGCTGGAGTACGCAAAGGAGATCGGCTAATCTGGATGAACGGAGCAAATGTAGAGGCTCTATCACACTCTGCCCTAACCAAGATGGTATGTTAGTTACATTTCTCCCTCATGCTGAGGTAAAGATAACATTTATTATTTTTGCAGTTGAAACAATGTGGTAGTCAGATCACTATTCTAGTGGTGGATGTTGAGAGTGAGAAGTACTATAATTCCCAACGGATACCCATCCTCCCAGCAATGGCGACACCACATAACCTACCATTTACAGCCAGAAAACTGCACTTGGTGTCAGGTAAAGACGGCTATGGCTTTCTTCTGCGCCTGGAAAGGTCCCCATCAGGCCGCAATGGTAAGATTACACCATGCATTTATAGTATTCATTATCTTGCCGGTTGTGGAGTGACCAAACTGATGTTCTAGCTCATGTTTTGCGTGAAATGGATCTCGGAGGTCCAGCTGAAAAAGCAGGGATGCGAGATGGAGACTTGCTGTTAGAAGTCAATGAAGAGTCGGTGGAATCTCTGAAACATGAAGAGATAATAGACAGAGTTAAACAAAGTGGACATAGCGTCTTACTTACCACTATTACACGGCAAGGACTGGACTTTTACACAAAGGTAGGCTTTTTGAATTGCTGTGCATTAAATTGGCTTGAGCTAATATGTGCTTATCTGTTTTGTTTTTACAGTTGGGTCTATCTCCTTTGCTTTTCTGTGAAGAGGCCATGGTGAAAGAACATGATAGTGGGGTGCCAGCCACTTTGATAAATGAAGACAAGGAAAGCAAGTCCAGACTTTGCAATGTTGAAAGAGGATCTCTTGGTTTTGGATTTATTGTCAGTTCTGTTCCACATGTGTCTGGAACATTCATCAGCCAGGTAAACATGAATTTGGTGTCTAATAGTTTTTGATCATTCACACTGCCTTCCTGATTTAATAGAGCTGTTTACTTGCTGTTTATATTTAGGTGGTTGATGGTGGTCCTGGGCAGAGAGGAGGGCTACTTGATGGGGATATGGTGTTGGATTTAAATGGAGAGAGTGTGGAGGGGAAAACTCTGGAAGATGTAATTATGATGATGGAAAATAGAAGATCTGTGTCACTAAGAGTCATTGGGAAAGGTGACAAAAAACCAGAAGCACCCGAGCCCTGTCCCATTGAGGTAACATATACTTTCTGTAAATGAGAGACGTTAGCAACAACAGTTATTGAATTCTTAAACTAATCAGGATATGTATTTTGTAACTTGGCAGGAGGAAGAGGAAACATGTGAAATTACTTATTTGTGAATGGACCTGTTGTGGACCAACATTCTTTAAATATCCCTTCAACCTTCACTCTTTGTACATCTGAAAACTATGTGCTACCTGGATGAAAGAAAAAAAAGAAAAAAACGGGATAAGGAAATCAAACTTATTGTAATAGTTGAGGTTGATTGACTCAGTTTAGGCACTATAAAGGACCATGTGCAATATTTCTATCTGTAGATGTTCTGTTGATATGTTCAATATCAGATCAGTGTTGCTTCTGTGTCATAATGAAAGCAAACAACTTGTTGTTTAAATATTATGATCAGCTCTTGGATTTCTTTCTTATCTTATGATGATAACAGTATGTCTTTATACCAACTCCTGGGAACTCTGATATCGCGTTGCACTGAGCTATAAACTCGTCAGATCAGTATTTGAGCACTCACATTATTTGATACGCCTCCATCCCTTGATCTTAATTCTTTTAGATATAAAACTTACTGTCAGTGAAGATGATAGGTTTTTTATACTTAAACATGTGTGAATTTGGACATTTTCATATTATTGCAGAGATTCAAATTTTGGAATTTATTTCAAGTATATCAAAAATATATCTATCAATACTGCATATTTCCACCAGAAATGATATTATGGAAATAAACAGATCGAAGTAACCACCAAAAAAAAGGTTTATTTAATTTGTGCCTATGTAGATTTGTCTTGCTGGGGACAGACATTGCATGCCATTCTATACAATACATTCACACTAAAACCAATATAAACAACAACAAACGTTTATAGTGATTCCTATTTGATGTTATGCCTTGGTATTGCAATATTTGCATTGTTTAATAAAACCTATAGAACTTTGATTTATATTATTTTTTATTGGAACAATGGTGTACCGGATATCAGGAAAGTATCCTTTCAAATATGTTTCTTGTAAGGAGGTCTCCATTGAAATAACACAAATATTATCCCTCAAACCATTACAATGATGTTGTGAACAGGTTTTTGTGTGGAAACCATCAAGAGACCGGTCACAACCTGTTTTTGCTCTGCTTTTTCACCACCACATATTGGGAGGACTTCAGTGAAATAATTCAAAGCATCTTAACAAGAGCTATATTTTTAAAAGCAAAGAAGTCAAGAATGATAAAATACAAGAAACAAATCTATCCTCATTCCTCAATAATGCAAGGCTACCAACAATCAGAACCTAACTTTTAAAAGACAATTATTTTAATATATGCTCATTAGAAGGTTGTAAAACTATTACTGTCTGTACCACAATTTATTTTATTGTATTTAACGCAACATATCCATAGACCCTAGCTGTTATTTTGTATACATGTATACAAGATACTAGAGAGGGAGACAGAGAGAGAAAGAGGCTCAGAAACTATTACGATATTTCCATGGTCAGAAAGAGGTAGAGACTGGGGATGCATCCAAATCCATACAATTTTCATGCTTCCTTTTACTTCTTTGAAATAGATAGCACTTATATTTGTTTCACTAAATATGTATCTATCGTATATAGCAAAATTCTACCAAATTCAATGAAAAGAAGAATGAACAATAAGGAACACGTTTCATTGTATTTGGATGCAGCCCTCTTTTTAGTACAGGCAGTACAGTGGTCGCACAAGAGAGGTCCTGATCTGCTGGAGGTGACATTCAGTCGGCTGCTAACACATCGACAGAGCTTCAAAATGGCACAAGCAGCACAAAAGCTGATCGCGAAAGTACCAACTCTGCTCGGCGGTAAGTCTTCCCATCATTACGTTTTGGTCATAAGGAAATTGAATTGTAAGTGGCACAAGAACTATGCTTTAGTCGTGTGGCTAGCTAACATGGCTAGTGCTGCTACCATAGACTGTAATGCTGCTACGCGTCAACCTAGCAAATCCTTCATTGAGTATTTGCTTTGTTTGATGTAATGTAGATTATTCACCATTATTTTCATTACTTGTGTATGTGTAATTTCCCATTAAACTCAAACAACAGAGTGACAATAACATTTCTGTCTATGCTCTTAGCCGCTGTCACCTACTCTAAACCTCGACTTGCTACTTTCTGGCATTACGCTCGTGTTGAGCTGGTTCCCCCATCACCTGCAGAGATCCCTAAAGCCATTGAAGGAGCATCCAACCTCATCAAGGGTTTTCAATCAGGACGCCTGGGTCAAACCACAGTTAGGGTATGTACATTCCATGCATTGCATTCTATAAGCAGAGGGTGGAAAAGTTACATCGATTCATGTGCATGGCAAACAGTGATTAGTACTCCTTATACTTTTATGCCTCTCATTTTTTTTTTTCCGACTTTCCCAGAACATGGTCACCTTCAAATAATACAGAGTTGTGGCCAAACATGCTGTGTTATGCTATTTTGATCTGTGACATAAGTGTACAGGGACTATTTGTACTATTAAGAATTCAAATAAAAGATGTATTTGTTATAAAGAATGTAACCGGTATAACATTATAATAGTTTACATCTGTAAGTTTAAGTACAATTTCCCCCACACTCTAAACTACTCATTTTAGGATTATTTTTTTAGTAGTTTAAATGGCTTTGCTCTCTTAACATCACATAAGACTTGTTCTTGTGCCCTACAGGATGCCTTCAGAAATGGACTGGTGGCTACAGAAGTGCTGATGTGGTTCTACATTGGAGAGTGCATTGGAAAAGGGGGGCTTGTTGGCTACGATGTTTAACTTCTGGACTGTTGTAATTCCTCTTGTGAGCGTTTTATGCTCAAATTCCGTAATAAATACATATATATGCTAATTATTCTCACATGTTTTCTTCACGTATTTTATGAATTATTTGAAGAACCTGACACATGATGGATTATGAACTCGAGTGTGATGGTGAACGATGCTTTATGAAAACTGTTATTTACCAACACATTTTGTTGGTATAATATAAAAACTGACTTGAACATGCTAAGATGAGGTTTTATGACTCATCATTATGTGACTGGAGAATTAATGTGTTCACAAGAATTTATCCAGAGACATCAAGTGAACTTTGTTTTGGTCAAGTGTATAACACTCTCAATTTGACCCATCCCTTAATGCCACTAGGGCCTTTACCAGGAGCAGCGTCAGAGGACATGTATACAGATGTTTGCGCGGGTTGGTTAAGACCAGAGCTGGAGGATTTTTGCCTGTAACACATGTTTTTAGTGGTATGGGACACTGGAGCACCCAGAAGAAACCTACAGACATGGGGAGAACATGCAAACTTCACTCAGCCCTGTACCGACCAGGATTCGAAATGAGAAGCGAATGCTATCCACTCCACTTTGCCTCCTATTTAAAAACAAAAAGCAAAAGATATCACAGGGTCTAAACCAATCATCAAAATATTTGTCAATTACAGCCCTCGTCTTGGTAAACATTTACACATTACCTCTATAACAGAAGGGAAGACTAGCTGTGGCCTATATTGAGTGTGACCAGCAGAGGGCATACGTGTCATTTTGTAATTTTAGACTGGCACAATTTGACGTCCAGATGTCATAGAAATACCATGAACCCAAAAAATAAAAACCGTTTCTAATGTGAGTGGGCCTACATATCCACAAACTTGATTCATTTTTGTAGTGGAACAGTGCTCGCTGTTTCACTTATTTCACTGTCTCTTCTACAACATGGCATAAAAGATTAAGATTATATTACCCTGAAATACGGGATTGTCCACCTACAGATAGGAATAAACTGTTGCTTTAAATATAATAGAGTATGGATTTTAGACAGACTTAATTCATTCAACACTTTATTTTTAAAACTTTGAACAACAAAAAACAACTACCGGTTGTAAACAAAGATTTAAATAATGCATGGTACAAGTAAGAATACAAAAATGCTGTTGTGGTAATGATACATTTAGAATTTTGTGGGAATAGATTTGTCTTGAGAGAACTTGACTATATACTTAGTTTTTTTTTTTTTTATTGAGAGGGCATTTATCATAAATATCTTAAATAGGATTCAGAAGGTATGATTTACAAGTACAAACTTGAATGCAATGACAAAGTTAATAAAACGTGTACATGTACAGTATAGCAATATCAAAATATATGCGAATAAGTTTTAGTAAAATTGCAAAAGTAGTTCAGGTAATGAAAGTCTGTTGTGATCTTGCTATAAAATAAATGACAAAACAAATGTATATATCAAGTAATACAATACAGTACTTCTCATTTGACATTACAAATTTTCACAGATGTCCCAACGCCAAAGCCTGGGTAGACTGGTTCTACAAATTTGCTTTCAAACCTGTGCAGGAGGGTCATACTACTACCAATGGCATAGAAAGCCAGTACACCGGCTGTGTGGTCCAGGTACACGCCGATCCTTGGAGAATGGGGGCCACTGACCGCCTTGTCCACTCTGTTGTGCCAGGCAGAGTAACCTGTGTCTGAACACAGCAGGCTCCAGGACTTGTTGTTGTATCCCAGCAGGCACAGTGATCCTTTGCCTTTACGGCTCAGGCTTTTGTAGGCCACGCCAATAGAGAACTCCCCGCTCCACTCAATCTCCCAGTAGAAGCGGCCGCTGGACAGAGCTTCCCTGCACAGCACTTGGGCAAAGCTGTCAAATCGCTCTGGGGTATCTGCATAGGCCTGAAGGTCCCTGGTGCGGATTACTTTTCTACTACTGTCAGAGATGTACAGCTCTTTGTACGCTGTGTTTGGATCTAATTTCAGTTGGCAGAAATCTGAAAGGACAGAGATGAACAATACATAATACAGGCTCAAATTCACACGCACACATACACTGACCGCAATTAGGATGCTTACATTTCAAAAAGTCTCCTCTGCTCTTAGGCTCTGGAGTGATGGGTAAGCTGTCCACAGTTATTATCTCTTTGCCTGGGAATGAAAACAGTGTTAAGACAACCACACTCCCACATTTCTTTTGTTAGATTATCATGATGTCATACTACTCCCTATAAAGACTTCTCCCCATTAGTCAGCCAAATATTTACGCCTGATAGCACTCACCTCTGCTCCTTCTGTCCAATGTTCTGCTTTCTGTTGTATAGACTGGCACATCGTTCACTGTCGGACAAATAATTAGCAACCATTAGCCCCTCTATTCAACTACAATCAGTCTTTTGTATTTTGTTCTAAGCTGCTTTGATCAGACCTGACTTGGAGATCTTCAGCAGCTCCTCTCTGCCAAACTCCTCGAGACGATCCTTGATCTCAGCCACAGCTTTTCTCACAGCACTGAAGGAGAAGTCTGGGTTTACCGTTACTCTGGGTATGAAGCTGTCATCAGTGGGGGTGCAGAGGTAATTGAAATTCTAATACAAAAGAACATGACGGTGAATGTTTTTGTACTTGTTTGGGAAATTTGCTCAGCTTGGAGCTCACGTGTTACCTGTAAGAAATGTATGTGGTCCTCTGTGCCGTAAAGCTGCTTGAGGCCAGTTTCCTTCTTCTTCAACTCATCAATCTCCTGCTCCAGTCTCTCAATCAAAGCCTCGGCCTGGTTGAACGCGGCCTTTTCGTTGATGCCGATCAGTTTGGTGACTTCTGACCTCATCCTCTCGATCGAGCGAATCATGTCCTCGAACATTTTCTGACTATCCACCATAGCCCTCTGCGCCGAGTTCTGCACAGGAAATCCAGGATGTTACTCTCACAAGTAATAAGGATCTTACGTAGATAAAGAATTTCACGGTAATCAAACACACAATCTTACTTTTAGTGAATCCACAGTGGTCTTCAGTTCTTCCAGTTCTTTCACTCGCTCCTGAAATTTTTGCTTTATCTCAGCTTGGGAGATTCCCAAAAGTTTCTGTAAAAAATAACAAAAACAAATATTACATACACCTGCTTTGTACTTTCTTTTCTTTCAAGTGATATCAAAGCAAATAACTAACTACAAGGAAATCTTTGATGTTTCTACATGTTGTTTCAGTCAAACATCACAAGAAATGTATCAGGTGTGGCTCCTGTTTTGGCTTCGCTGTTTGAGACTTGTAAGACTTAACATTCTTTCCCATCAAAGAATATTCAAAGGGGCCCTTTGCCATGTTTAATAAACCCTACTCCTAATACTCTCAGAGAGGGTGGGGGGTGTCTGATGGCATCCAGGTCATTTTAGGAATGTGATTCAACTGCTGACTGACTTTTTAAGAAGATGTTTCAAGGTGCATTCTGCAGTGACAACCCCGAGAGGGATTTTCTTAATTCAGTTTTCTACTCAAGCCCACCGACTTATTCTTCAAGATAAGCTTGAGGAATGTTGGGAATCTTGGGAGGGGGGATGATGAACATGAGAGGGGGAGGGTATGTGAGAGTAAATGAGATGTGTTGGAGAATCAGGTTGTAAATCTCTGGATGAGAGAAACCAGAGTGTAGCAGAGGAAACAAACTCATGACTTATTACTTCAGTCAGCCTTAAGAAGCCTTTAACCCATATCAGCATACCATAAAAGCACCCTCCCACCAGGTTACTCATCAACGACACTATAAACCAAAGAATGTTGTATATCTGAAACTGTCTTATCTCGTTTTGCTTTGCAGGCAGTGTTCCGTCACTTGAGTTGAGCATGAATGCCTGTAATGTAAGTTATGTGAGCGCTGTGCAATGTGCTGTGAAGGCCTTGACTCCTGTGGGAGTGGGCCCAGTATCACTACATGGGCCCACTCCCACAGGTGGGAAACAGCACAGTGCATTGAAAGAGAGGAACTCAAAGTTTATCTATCCCACAGCTGGAATAACACATTCTCTGAAAAGGGGCTTTTGATAAGTAAGACACTCCCCCAACTTTGGAACAGCTAATCAGAAAGCTGGGTTTGTTTTGGCGGTGAAAACCTGCCAGGGAAGCAGATATAGCATGGGCAAAAGGGGGCAAAGTACACTTGCTATTTGTGTTGAAAAATCAGTCATTAAAAAAAAAAAAAAAATACTGCTGGAGGCTGTGTGACTTCTGAGTGTTTGTTTTAAGTGGCAGGTGCACAAACAGCCAAAGGCATGAGCTCAGTCACAGTATGACAATGTGACATTGGATTTAAAAAAAAGACAAGTATAAGACTTTAAAATTACCTGTTTCTCTCCTCTCTCTGCCTCAGCTGACACTATGTCATGGCCTCTATGTTCACTGACAGTACACAGGGCACAGATGCACATCTGGTCTGTCCGACAGAAGAGCTCCAGGGATTTCTGGTGCTGAGGACAGATCTTCCTGTCCAGGTTCCCCAGTTCATCCACCAGCTTGTGCCTCTTGAATGTGGCTGACTCATAATGAGGCTTCAGGTGCTTCTCGCAATAAGATGCCAGACAGTTCAGACAGGACTTCACAGCTTTTAGTTTCTTCCCAGAGCAGAAATCACATGGAACATCAGTTGGTCCTGCCACACCATTCCCCACTGGAGACATGACGGTCAGGTTGAGTCCACTCTTCTTGATCTTCTCAGCTACCATGCTCAGAGTGGCGTTGGGCCGCAACACGGGCCTCTGGGTAAATGTGATCTTACATTGTGGACAAATGTAAATCCCTGTGTAGTCTGCCTCATTCCAGTAGCCACTGATGCAGTCCATACAAAAACTGTGCCCACAGGGAATAGCCACAGGGTCCCGCAGCAGGTTGAGGCACAGAGAGCAGTTGAAGTAGTCTGGGGATGTTTGGTCAGCCATTGTGGTGGTGAACTCCCAACTATGGCAGACCTGTGGGAAAGCAGTTCTGAAGCAGATAGAGGTTTTCGTCCGGTGCGCCTGGGAGCCCGCCTTCTCGAGTGTGGTACAGCCTGTCACAGACAGGACCTACTTGTATTTCTGAATTCCAGAGGTTATTGATTGAAAGCAGACAAGGTCCTCCCCCTGTGCTGTGAGTGTACCGAGCCCTGCCCAGTTCAGATAAGCAGGTTGAGCAGGGAGAGGAGGGAGAGGCAGGCAGGCAAGCAGAGAGGGGACAGCCTACAGGAAACAGAGCACCAGGAACATTTTAATGAATGAATGAAGTAAAAGAACACAATAACATCTGTGCCAAAAATGTTATTACATTTTCCAAATCATTTCTCTTTTATTTCTCTATTTCTCTTGTGGCTCATCAGTGGATGTGTTTCGGACACAGTCCTCACAGCTGCATTTCCACCTATTGTTATCAGACAGAATTGCCATTGTCTTAAACCGGTTACAGTCCGCCAAATATATGTTGCCCAAGGAATGTTAGGAACCTCCCTTCAAGCAAACAGATAAGCACTAAGCACAGTTCTACTTTGATTTCAAAAGACCCTGCATTCTATTGCACAAACAGCAGTAAGACCTGGATGTTGTATTTGCCCAGTGACCTGTCAGACGAGAGCAATAACCTCAGTCATGTGACTATAGGTATTACACTTGTTTGCGCAGCATGTACAAATATTCAAAGGCGGCAGCATTCCCTTTCAGCCAATAGCATTGCAGCTTAAGCATAGTTAACACATGTCTATTGTTTATTTCATGTTCATACTGCCTTTATTCTGTCTGAGAGAAAGAAACAGAGTAAAACAGTGGAACTTGAGAGAAACTTAAATAAACTTCCAGAGTTTGGCACACCACGATCCGTCTCTGTCTGCTTAAATCCTGACAAAATTACAACTAAACCATGTTATCAGAGTCATGTGCTGAGGTTTAGGTAGAGACCAAACACTGGATATCAAAGTAACACATTCTGGTTTCTGATTGGATTCTAAACTAAAATATCCGCCATGACCACATTTGTGCAACTAAAAAGAAAACAGCATAAACACATTTATCAGAAAAAATACATATTTCAATTGTCCTTGTTTACCTCGAGTCTGGGAACACAGATGATGAGAAGTTGTGACAAAAAAAATCTTGAGTACAATTCCTTTATTATAGACGAAGGTTTGAGTTGTGTGCATAAGAATAGCTGACTCTCTGTTCTGCTCTTCACCCGGTGCAGCATGAAGTCTCAGCTGACATCACGGCCCCTAATTAGCATTTCAATCAGGTCAATGCCACTATTCCTCACCAATACTAATGCACTACTTCTATTTCTCTGCCACTTAGGATCAGATGAAATTCTTGGTTTCGTTCCAAGTTGAATCTGCTGCTCTGTTTGAAAAAAAAAGTTGACACAAACTCCACCTGTTATTGGGCATTACTTCATACACTTGGTAGTTTCACCTCGCCATATTTGGTCAAGTTTCTGATAAGCACGTTTTCCTTCCTTCCTCTAGAAGCAGCAGTGCTCAGTGTGTGCTTACAGATTAACTACCTGTTATTGGACAGACTCACTACCATGGGAGCTGGTTTTTCAATGGAATCTGTCATTACACTGTCTTCAACTGCATCATAACTGCAGTCTTGTTAATGTTGATATTATACGATTAGTTCTAATTGAAATAATACGCTTGTTAGAGACGCTGCAATTATCTCGACTCACTCAAGTTCAAGGTGAAGGGTCGGACTTTATAAAGGTGCAGTGAACGTTAAAGAGGCACTGTACTGCAGCAGTTTGGGTTAACGGCTGTTTGATCAAAGGAAACAAGGCTGCGTTTCTCTGAGAGGATGGAACCATAACAGGAAGACACCCCATTCGAACGTGGTGCCAGGAACAATGCTCAGACAAATGTGTAGAAAGACTGCAACAACTCCAGATTTCTGCTGTTAATGAAAAAGTAAAAATGACAATGAGAGTGGAAATGCAGATAATCCCATGGAGTAATCTCATACAATATTTAAATGCATTGGTTTTAGCCAAAAATATAAACTAGTACAATGTTTCTTCACTTTGAATGTTTTTATGGCTTTGATAAAAGTAGAGATATGGGTTCTAACTGTTGTGGGCTGGCTCTCCACAAACCTTGTACCTTGTACTTTGTTGTATATGTTTGGCTGTACATGCAGCATATAATGGAAACCGATTTGTTTAAAAAACTTATGAGTTTGTAAAAATAGATAATACATAAATGATTCAAAGGAAATACTTCTTTTAATGTTGTGGAATTGAGCCAAAATAGATAATTTCGAAATTTCAAATCAATGGAATCAGTATCCCAATTCCAGAAATGTACAGTACATCCGGCTGCTACTCGGCTGTTTCAGACATGACCTTGCAACATGCAGGAATATTCACATTTCAAACCCCAGGTTTCAGTGCGTCCCAGTGTGGGAAAGTATGAAACATAAGCTCAAACTTCAGACAAATAAACGGACCACTCCAGAATTAGTTTTCTTTTCCTTTTTTTTGGTATTTAATTTCCTCTTTGTTTTGCCCCAGCATAGCTGAATCCACTGTACCTGAGAGCGTAGAAACATCATGTTATTGCAAAACAAAACCAAGGAATGTTTCAGGTCTGGAGGTTCTGTCTTTTCTGCACCCACTTCAGTTTATAAAACAATCTTTTATTTATCATAACACAATAGATAATAGAAAACATGAAAGAATGCCTGTGGTAACAACCCGTTCTTCAAGATAAAGAGTGAGGTGATTTGTACATTTCTGAGTGATGATGTGATGTGATCTAAACAGTGAAAGCTACTTTGATACTTCACACTGAAACCACAATTTCACTAAACTAAAACCACAATCATTTCAATAAACAGACAAACATATATATGTGTATATATATATATATATATATATATATATATATATATATACACTATTATATTATACTATTATAATATTATGCTATTATGTTATACTAATTGCACAAGAACTGTGTGTTTCCAGAAGCTTGAAGGTCCTATGGTTATTGTTGAACTCCTGCTAATGAAATTATACATTTACATACATGTACACACACATAGTTCATGTACAACATCTTGTTATTGACTATTCTTAAGCATGTTGGATAATATAGGACTGGAGGTCTAATGTGATGGTACAGTCTTCCTGAAAATGTGAGGCTTCTTCTCTGACAATGTTCAAATCCAGATTAAACACAGTTCTGTTTAGTTGTGCAACAACTGAGGGATTTCATTTGCACTCTTTTTAATGTACTGTAGTTATTTGTGATTTTTATGCTGTGTGTGATTGTTTCTATCTTATTCTGTTCAGCATTTTGAGTTGCCTTATATGAATTGCGCTATACAAATAAACTTGCCTCGTCATGGTCAAATCACTATATAAAACTGAGGCATTATCATTGTGTCGTTATTACCGTTTTGTAGTTTAGATCAGGAGCTTTTTTTTTCATTATTTCAGTCAACAAATGGATCATCTTTTATTTTTTTGAACAATAAACATTTCTGCTGCAATATCAAATTAAGAACATAATTAGTTTTGCAGTGTAGTGTTAAGGGTGTCCACAGAGACCCTAAAATGCCTGGCGCTGTTGGACTTCTTCATGCTGGCTCTCGCACAATGGAATCTTTTAGACAGGCTTTCGAGGCCCTGCTATTATCTGAGCTATCAAGTGTAGTTGCATTCCAGTCTCCGTTTCAGCAGACCTGAAACTGCAGTACGGACAAAGTTTGTTTAGCCAGGTGCTTCGAATTGTATATTTCTGAAGTGGTGAAGTGATCTGAACGCTGCTTTTCTAATCTAATCTTTAAGTTACTGCACTTCTGACTGTACATAGAAAAGATCAAGAACTTTTGCTGCGCACATATAAAAATACACTACAGCAGACACTGTATGAACCTGTCATTTTTGTAATATTATCTTTTGGAAGCACTGTTCTAGTATTATGCCACTATGATTATGAAGTACTACATCTGAGCTATGACTCAGATACATATATTTTGCCAAATTTCGACAAATAAATTGAAAAATGCAGAATGGAATATAAAATTGCAATGCATGAGATCCACCAATTTGTGTTTATTTAAATAAATAAATGATTGTGGGCACAATGATGAGTAGTAATATCTTGCACATAATAACACAATTCTACACAATACTGTCATGTGGCAAAGAGAGGGATGTGAGAAAGCTTAGCTCCAGGGTGCTCAAAACAGTTTCTCTCTTCTAACATATTAATCAAAGACCAATAGAAACCCCACACACATCAATTATCAAAATCAAGAGCAATGTTTGCATTAGAATAACATTTCATTCATTTTCCTCTGATGGAAGCTAGTGCTTTGACCTCTCCTTGCCCCACCCTTGTTTTACTGGTTTCGGCTTAACCAGTTTAGCATCTCACTGTTTACTCTATATAACTTGTGCCTTGTCATACCTGCGATCACTTTGCTACTGCACTCACTCGAGCCACTTCACCTCTTTGCTGTCACAGAACTCAGAAAGTCTCCAGTTTTTGTTTTGTTTTCTCTCCATGTCTTCAGACCAGGAAGGCTGCTATCTCTGCAAGGAATACCTCAGGGATCCAGTGTCCATACCCTGTGGACACATCTTCTGCTCACTTTGTCTTAAAACCTACTGGGACCACGCTGACCACAGTGGTACTTACATTTGCCCACAGTGCAGAGTCACTTACAACAAGAGGCCTACTCCAAGACGAGTTTCAGGCTCAAGACACAGCAGCAGCAGCAACAGCATGCAGCGCAATTCCGCTGAATCCTACCCACCGCCTCCTCCGTCTCCGGACTACAACTACGCTGGTCCCCAGGATGTAGGCTGCGATATTTGCGTTGGCAAGAAGCACAAAGCCATCAAGACCTGCTTGATGTGTCTGGCCTCCTACTGTGAAAAACATCTCAAGCCTCATTTTGAATCAGCCACGTTCAAGAGGCACAAGCTGGTGGACGAGATTGGACATCTTGACCGCCAGATCTGCCCCCAGCATCAGAAGGGCCTGGAGCTGTTCTGTCGCACTGACCAGATGTGTATCTGTGTGCTGTGTACAGTCAAAGAACATAAAGGTCACGACATGGTGTCTGCTGAGCAGGAGAGAGCTGAGGAACAGGTAAGCAAGCCTTTACGCAAACACACACCTATTGTGCTCCTATTTGACTCCTGAATAGTTGTTAATTGTAGTATTAAGTGTATGTAAGTGCATTGTAATAACTACATATTAATTCCCTAGTAGGTAAGTTTCAGCAGCAAATAATAGTTTAAAAATTAACGTTTTCTCTTTCATCTATTGTTGCAACTGACGATAGAATCACGGTCTGTGTAAAACTATTCACATAAAAGAGACCAAGAATTCTTTATTAAATTAAAAATGACAATTATTCCAGCACTGCAGCTCCAAGAAACCAGATAAAGACACAACATACTGTACATTCCACTCATCCATAAATTAGGAATCAAAAACCTTACATGATAATATGGTGTTGTGTCAACTAAATGTCCAACTTAGAAAGTAAGACCTGTTAATCCCGATGGGACACACCCACACTTAACTGCACATACCTTTAAAGTATGACAAAAATATATTGTTCAACAAATTCCATTAATTGTTGTGTTGTTTTATCTCCTTAGCAACGATTGGGCGGCACCCAAGCCGAGATCCAGGAGAAGATTCATGATCGGCTCAAGCAAATGGAGGAACTCAAACAGGCCGTGGACTCACTGAAGGTTTGTGCCAGCATGATTTATCACACAGATAAGACCAGACTAACCACTACACCACATTCCTTCATGCTTTAGTGATGACGACAGCTTAGCTTTTGGTGTGCTAGTAAAAAATACACCTTGTGACCCAAGCCCCGGCGATCCAAGATGGCGCCCTATTCAAATGAATGGTTGCGCTCAGTGGCGCTTTGTGACGGCATGGGGGCTGAAAAGATTAGCGGAAGTTGCCTGAAACTCGCAAAGATCTATGGGAAACTCGCCTGTATTTGGGCATCGTCTGGTCCTCCCGGTTCTGCGCAGTGGATGATCTCCCATAATGCGTTGCGCCAAACACGCGTGTGTGGGTCTCACACCGGGTTTCACGCACGTGCACAGAGGGGCTCGGCCGCGCTCTGACCAATCAGAGCAGTTCATCAGAGCGGGCGTTAGAGCGAGAGCCAGACGAGCAGAGTTTGTGGCACTAAAGTGTGGATTTAAACAAAACCGAAGGATTTAAGAAGAAAAAAAGTTCAGGATGACAAGGGACACTAAAATCCCCACAAAATCCGATCTTTATTAAAGCTGTAGGTTCTCTGTCAGCTGAGGTCGAGCTGTTTTAATTTGCATTGAGTTCTATGGGGAAAATCTCTGGGTAGCCCTCGTGAATTTAGTCTGGTTCAGTCTGCAGTACCGCGAGAATCCCCTGAGCACATGAGTTATTCAGCTACAAGCTAGTAATACCCTATCCAGTTAATATAATACATCCATGCTTGTGACACAGTTGATTGATGACACTCCCCATGTTTCATGTGTAGAACTCAGCCCAGAGAGCACTCCAAGAATGTGAGAAGATGTTTAGCGACATGATGCGCTCAATTGAAAGAATGCAACAGGAAATGGCCAAGCTGATTTCAACCAATAAGAGGGCAGCACTGAATAATGCAGAAGGCCACCTGGAGAGATTAAGCCATGAGATTTCAGATCTGAAGAGGAGGGACAACGAAATCACCCAGCTTTCCAAAACTGAGGACCACATCCACTTTATCCAGGTAATAAGCTTTCAACAAAATGCAAAAACCAAATCACACCTTAAATTTAATCCAGTGCAATATTTTTTCTTCAGTCCTACCACATGCTGATTGCACAAACAGAAGCCGAGGAACTGCCTACTGTCAGCGTCAACCCCTATTTTACCTTTGGCCCAGTTACAAAAGCAGTCTCTGAGATGAAGCAACACATGAATGAATTTGGAAATGATGAACTGGTTAAAGTTGCAAAAACAGGTGACTATCCTTAACCTTTTTATTGTTCAGGTATGATAACAGAATCCTGGTTTATGTTTCATTTTTCTGTTTTCAGTGAATAAAATGACCTTCTGTGAACTTGATGATGCAAAGAAGAAGAAATCCCTCAAAGCTGAGGCCGTAAGAGGTGAGTTTATTGATTCAAGTCAATCTAAAGGATTTAATTTTGATAGCGTTTTTCAGGCGGTAGTTGCAAAGCCTGGGAATTTCCTTTGTAAAACAGCTTTTGTTAAACTCTGTCTGTTTGGATGGAGCTCAAGCAAGAGAGTATTCATTAGGGCCTAGTTTGGGGTCCTTCAGTAACTGCATGGTTAAATGTTTACTTTGATTAGGAAGTCAAACTGCTGGTGCGTTTACAAGAGCACATTCCACTATAATGGACTTTAGCTCAGCCTATTGGTGTAGAACTGCCCCAGACCATTCAAGCGACCACAACGTTAGTTTGAATAATGGGAGAAAAAGTCAACAATGTCACTGACTACATTTTCATTCTATTGCTTTTGACAGCCGACGAAGCCGCCATGTACAAGTCTGTGCCAGTTCCAGTTAAAGAACCTCAATACAGGGATGACTTCTTGAGATGTAAGTTTTTTGTTTTTTAGAGCCTCTCCTATCTGCCAGACCCTTTGGCTGACCACAATAATGGAACTTTATATCTTGAATTAGACCCATTAATGTTAATAAAAGGTAAACACTTGTGGCATTGCAGATCATAGATCGGACAGAAATAGCCGACCGCGGCGGGTGTCCCATCAACTGTGATATGCCGAAGACAGAGGTGACATCCAATTCCCTAAACTTAAGTCACTTTTTTAGTGCAGCCAGAGGGTCCTTTCTTTCAAGTTTCCGCCTGAAATTAGTTAACCATCAAACCCAATGTAAACAAGGAATGTCAAAACAGAATAACCTTAAATGGGATAATGGAACAATTGTGCTCTTTGGCAGTTTGTGTTTAGTTTTCCCATTGAAATTTGATATGAGTTTTTCAAAGCAAGTAATCCATTGTTTCCTTCATAGATGCCTGTGAACTCAATCTGGACCAAAACACAGCCTACAGACAGCTCTTCTTATCCAAAGGCAACAAAAAGGCCACTTTAAAGAACGAACCCCAGAACTACCCTGACAATGCGGCCAGATTCGACTCACTGCCCCAGGTCCTGTGCAGGGAACCCCTCGCTGGTGGAGCTTACTACTGGGAGGTGGACTGGAGTGGAGAGGGAGCGGCCATCGGAATCACCTACAAAGGCATCAAGAGAACGGGCTATGGAGACGGCTGTCGCATCGGCTACAACCGCAAATCCTGGAGCGTCTTCTGCTCTGACACCAACTATGCAGCCCGTCACAACAAAGATCAGCAGGAGATCAACGCACCGTACTCATCCCGTATCGGTGTGTTCCTCGACCACGTGGGGGGTACTCTGTCCTTCTATACTGTAGGTGACACCATGTCTCTTATCCACCGCTTCAAGGCCGCCTTCAGTGAGCCAGTTTTTGTAGGTTTTTGGGTTTGGTATGGGTCTGCAATCAGAATCCTCCAACTGTAATGTGATAACAAAAACATGTACAGACGATTTTTATTTTTTTAACAATGTAACTGATCCTATGTTACAGTACTTAATAGCACACAAAAAATCACAAATAAAATGTGACTTGCGGTGCATGAAGAAATGAGCAGTACCCTTTTTTACTTAAGTAACAATGTGTTGCCTTTTGATCACTGTACTCCTTTATGAATAAAAATGTACGCTTCACATTTACATAATTACAGTCTTATGCCTATGTCTTTTTTGACAGTCTTATGACAGTCTTTTTTCTTTTAATGACATCTTGATTTGTCGGGTACTTCCTTATCTTTTAAACATAAATATAAATGCATTGTGTATATTTTTTTTTAGATGTGAAGAGGTCTTGCTCAAAGATATACCAAATGAAATATCTTATACAGAATAACAAATATGTTTATAAAATGATAAATGCATGATGGAGATTACTACAATAAAAGTATTTTGGAAACTGGTAGAGTGCTACTCCTGTTGAATGATTGTCATATGTGGAGGTTATTTGTTCTTTCCAGGTAAAACTCAAAACACAAGTTAAATGTCTATATCTGGTGCTACTTTACATTTACTAGTATGCAGCAAGGTGAAAAATAACATTTGGCTTATTCAGGCAATAATAAATAGGCAGTATCTATTTAAAGAACAGAACCTTGGTTATTCAGTCACTTGGAAAGGGTCTGGACGGGATCTCAAACTCAATTTATCTGGGGGCTGCATGAGGTCAAGTCTGGGTTAAGCTGGGCCACATTAAGTGGAATATTTGTGTTTGTGTGCAAAATATATTAGAGCAAACTGATCTATGAATGTGCAAACATAGAATCAAATCACTAAAATTGTACACACTATTTTACTTTGCACAGGACTTTAGCTCCTGGATAAATATAACATATTTCAAACTGTGCCATCTTTTCATTCTTTAACATTAGCTGTAGAGAAAGTAAATGTGTGGGCTTGTGAAACAGAGACAAAAACAGCAAAACAAAGAATCAAGCGTTTGTGAAAAGTTTTATAGTTCATGGTTTGACTTTTTATAATCATTAAAGTATTTTGACCAAATAATTAATTTTATTGAATATGATATAATTGGACAATAAATGAGTCCAGCTGCTTGGATTGAAACAAGACTGGATGAAAAGCAAGAAACTCTTGTATTGTAGATTTAATTATGTTTACTTTGAATTATTGCTTATTCTATTCATGGTTCAACGTTAATGGTAAATTAGGTGTGGTTGTTTTCTTGATAAAAATGAGCTTTAAAACAAGATATAAGCATGCCATATTTGTACAGACTCTCAGTGGGGGCTTAATATTTACAGTCTATGGGCTGCACTGAAATTAAAGTTTGATGTCCACTAGGGGGCCACAAAATACATTTTCGCGGGCTGCAAATGGCCCACGGGCCACTTAGAACAGACCTTATGCTCCATGTATGCTCCCCATGGATCTCCCATCAGCCGCTTCGCTTGTAAATCCCGCAAATGTATAAACACTTCGCCATCTACTGGTGGCATGTCGGATCTACATGGAGATCGCAGAAAAGTAAACACAAATAACTTAAAAGTAATACATCAAACTGACCTGGGCCTCTTTCATATGTCATAAAAAGGTTGAACGTCTCAACTTCGTGTAGTTAGTTCCTTAAAGCTGATTTGTCTCGACCATACAGTCAATGGTCAAAACCACATTGGTTACGTGCAACAAAGAACTGCGAGTGTAATTGTTGAAAGAGAAGTTTAAGTTATCTGAACCTGTTTTTTGTTGTTGTTGTTGTTGTTGATGATGTTGATGATGATGGTACCCAAAAACAGGAGGTGCTGCTCTGGAACTACATGCACTGCAAAACCAGAAAGACTTGTTTCTAGTCGGTTACATTTCCCCTGCGCACCACACAAGAAACGCCGCATTTTCTTCGTTTAACAGTGGAGTGCTTTAGCACAGGTGAGTTTGGACTTAACTTGTACTATAGTAAAAGCTTACTTTAACCTGTTGTAGAGAAATACGTGTATTTATATTCCCGTCTTTGAGATCGCCGTTCACAATGACAACGTGCGTTGCATTTTACAATGAATCTCAGAATGAGGCTAACCGCGTTGCTAACGCTAGCGGTGCAGTGTGGCTTTCCCACAGATTCAGCTAAATTGGTAATTACTGTATTCTACTGCTTTTTAATGTTGTGTAATCACAAAACCTACCCATTGAGTTCTTGACTTAATTTGTGTTTCAACGTTATATATTTATTATGTAGTTCACTTGTTACTAACCTACCAGTACTGGTGTGTTGTGATGTTCGTTACCTGTCACTATGACAACCACCTCATGAAACAAATCTCTAATGCTTTGTGAATGCAAACTAATGTAGCATTAGCTGCTAATGGTCACTGATGATTTCATTACAACTAAGACACTATTCAATGCTCCTGCCTGCCCTAATGTTTTTTTTTTTATCTCGATGAAAGATAATGTTCACTGTCCACGTTAAAACATAATTGGAGAATCGTGTTTTAACGTTACCGTTTAATTCTTTAATATTTTGTTTAACTTGCAGATGGCGAACACAAAGGTCCCAGAAGTTCGTGACATTACAAGAATTGAAAGAATTGGTATAACTAATTAATTATCTGACTTCTAAAAGAATATTTTAAGTGTATTCATTATTGCATTTCAATTGTTTTAATTTATTTTAGGTGCACATTCTCACATCCGTGGCCTTGGTTTGGATGATGCATTGGAGCCAAGACAGGTAAAGGCCTATCCACCATGAATGTCTTAAATTTATATATGATTTTTTTTTTTTTTAATAATGTTACCTTTTTTCACATTGTTTTATGTTCTTCTAGGTGTCTCAGGGGATGGTGGGTCAGCTTGCCTCTCGTCGCGCAGCAGGTGTCATACTGGAAATGATTAAAGATGGTCATATTGCTGGGAGAGCAGTGCTTATTGCGGGCCAGCCGGGAACTGGAAAAACTGCAATTGCAATGGGTAAGACAGTTATTAAGAAACATAAAAAATATGGCAATTCCGATGACATTTGCTCTTTCTCTAGGTATTGCCCAGTCTCTTGGTCCTGACACTCCTTTCACAGCACTCGCAGGAAGTGAAATCTTCTCTCTTGAAATGAGTAAGACTGAGGCACTTAGCCAAGCTTTCAGAAAAGCCATCGGTGTCAGAATCAAGTAAGACCAACACTGCAAATGACCTCTATAAAATAAGTATCTGTATATAATATGCATTTGTTTGTCTCACAGGGAGGAGACGGAAATTATTGAGGGAGAGGTAGTGGAAATACAGATTGATAGACCTGCAACAGGAACGGTAAGCTATTTTGATGTTTTGAACAATTTTCTATACTAAACCTTTTCTGTTTTTCTAGGGGGCTAAGGTTGGAAAGCTCACTCTCAAGACTACAGAGATGGAAACAATATACGACTTGGGAAATAAGATGATTGAAAGTCTTAGCAAGGAGAAGGTTCAGGCAGGGTAAGTTGATCCTTTGGACATTTCATCTTTTGATATGCAGCAATCAGGAGTTTCCACTTTTATTTATTTTATATCTTTTCCTTTATGACAATAGAGATGTTATAACTATTGACAAAGCCACTGGAAAGATCAGCAAGTTGGGTCGCTCGTTCACTCGAGCCAGAGACTATGATGCCATGGGAGCTCAAGTAAGAAATTCATCCACCAGTATTTGCCTGCATTTCCAGCGAGAGCATAATTCACAAATCCAATGTCTTTGTGTATTTTCAGACACAGTTTGTGCAGTGTCCAGAGGGAGAGCTTCAGAAAAGGAAAGAGGTGGTCCACACAGTTTCTCTTCATGAGATTGACGTCATCAATAGCCGTACACAAGGTTTCTTAGCCCTATTTTCAGGGGACACCGGTGAGATCAAATCTGAGGTCCGAGAGCAGATAAATGCTAAAGTCTGTGAATGGAGAGAAGAGGGCAAAGCAGAAATCATTCCTGGGGTTGGTGCCACATTATTGGAAATATTTTTTATTTATATTTGCCAAGATAATGTTTATTGATTCATGTTCTTTGTTTTTTTGTTTACTTTACTTTCAGGTTTTATTTATTGATGAGGTCCATATGTTGGACATGGAGTGTTTCTCGTTTCTGAATCGAGCCTTAGAAAGTGACTTGTCCCCAGTTCTTATTATGGCCACCAACAGAGGCATAACTCGGTAATTACGCTAAATAAAATTAAATACACTTTAATACTATGAATTAACTCTGGGTTTCTCAACTTCTTCAATCGTACGTGCATGGTTTTGGACCCACCAAATATGTTTGAAATTATCTCTAAACCCTCACTTTGACCTAATTTCATCCACTGATCTGTGTTTTGTTTCAAATATTTGGGGATATTCATTGAAAACACACAAACATTATCACTTATATTAGGAGTCTGGCTTCATGAATGTAATGGAGGTTAACAGATTTATATGTTAAACCCAAAATTAAATGTTATGTTGACTGAATTCTACATGGTCTTTACTTCTCAGCATCCGTGGCACAAATTACCAGAGCCCTCATGGAATTCCTATTGACCTTTTGGACCGACTCCTTATTATTGCCACTTCCCCATACAATGAAAAGGAGACGAGGCAGATTCTCAAGATCCGGTAAAACATTTTTTGAAAACACAGGCTTTTCTGTTTCTTTGTCTAAAATGTCTGTTTTTCAGATGTGAGGAAGAGGATGTGGAGCTGAGCGAAGAGGCACACACTGTTTTGACCCGCATTGGCATGGAGACCTCGCTCCGTTATGCCATTCAGCTGATCAGCACAGCAGGGCTGGTGTGCCGCAAACGCAAGGTAACTGCAAGTTAAATCATTGTTGTTCTGCTTTGTAGCTCAGGTAACTGGTTATAAGAAAGTAGACTAAAGCCGCTGTGTGACTGTTGTCAGGCCACAGAGGTACAAGTGGAGGACATCAAACGAGTTTACTCCCTGTTTTTGGACGAAGCGCGGTCTTCTCAGTACATGAAGGAGTATCAGGACTCTTTTCTCTTCAATGAAACACGTAAGTTTTGACATTCAAGACACCACTTTACTCTCTCTCTTAGTTATAATGTGTGTTGTATATAAAATGAACTCACTGGCAATTATTTAATGTGTTTTCAACTTGTATTAATGGTGATGATGATTATTAATTTTAACCACTTTAATTATTACGGTACATAATATTATGAAGACTAAATTTAATCTATGTTTACATCCTTAAAAGCATACTAAAATATTTTAGAAAAAATACATAGTTAAAACTGTATTATTTGTAAAATCTTAGATACCGTAATGTGTAAAACGCACTGCAATAGTTCCATAAACTTGGTGCACTACAGTATCATAGTTTTATGTATTTATGAACATGACTCTCATGAGCTAATAACAGTCAGTAGAGCACGTTTTATATTTCATTGGTCATTAGTGATTAGTCAGACGATATGAGTTTTACAGTAAACAAAGTTTGAAAACATGTATCTTCAATGTTATGATTCATGACTTCTTCTTTACAGCATCTGGTGCCATGGATACGTCGTAATGATGCTGTTTGCTTTTCATTGTCATGCGCTCATTCCATTGTCAATTTGACTTCAGTTTGAGCTGAGTTGAATCGTAATTCTTTGCCTTTATGTTTATAAGTGTACCCCCCTGTATGTTTTGTTTTTCAAAAGAAAACTGTTTGATTGTCTTGAATCTATTTTTATTAAAAATTCTGTTTCTCTGAGCATGTGTGTGTTAGTGCACAGATAGTTGAGTGTCTTTTTTCATCCATTGGATGGCGCTATAACATAAGCTGAGGTATACAGTTAAAATGCTTGTGAAAGTGCGTGCTTAAGTGTTGCATTGCTCACAAGTCAAACCTGTTTAAAGTGAGCAATGATTTGGCCAAGTAAATGCCATTGCTCTGCACCTCAGTCTCACCTGTTACGTCCATTCACTGTGAGTGTGTGTGTGTGTGTTACCTGCTACCACCAGTCAATCCTCACCACTGAATGAATGACTGCTGCATGACAGTTAGAGCAGACTGCAGCCTCATCCAAGTCCACTTGTCCCACCAGGTCCCTGTCAGCTGTGTCCTGTTTGCCTCCACTTCTGATTCCCAGGGAGGAGGCCTGGACGAAGGTTCCAGACTCCAACATAAAAATACTGTTATCTTCTTGGTTGGAATTTGAACAAATCTCACTGACCCTACTCCAAAATGATTATCCTAACCCTTAATGAATGATGCTCCAAAGGGAATTGTGACTTCACAAGGGTTCAATCATATTCTCAATAATTACCATTGGTGTCACACCCTCCCCCTTCTGTTTGAGCGACAGATGCTCATCAACATCTTGAGCATCCCCCCTGCATGTATTTTTCTTTTTTATGGTACTGAAAAGAAAGGGATAAAAGCTGTGTCCTAACTGCGAACAAGCTTGCATCTCACCTGAGTCTACTTTTCGGATTCATTTATTTACATTAATACCATATCTATAGTTTTCTTAGCCACCAAACTTCCTTTCCATGACAGTGACACTCTTACAGAATGAAAGTCCAGAGGCTCCAGACGACATGTGTGTCCATTTCCTGAGGTTCTCAAGGAAAAATAAATGTCCATGCTTCTCTTCCATCATCCACCTTCTGCCATATGTGAAAATGCAACGTATGTAATTACAGGAAAGTTGAATGGAGGTGCACCATATGTTTCCATTACACACAATTACTGCTGCTGATTTTATTTCCGTGTTTAAGTTTTAAATTGGTTGACTATTCCTGTTTTCTTTTCCATAAGCAAAACGTTCAATAAAACAATATTTTTTAATTTGTCTTCTCTATTTTGTAGATTACATGGAAATCATAACAGATATTTTACTATCTCATCATTACCGGAATAATAAAATAGTAAAAAATAAGTACTTTTTTATAAAGATTAAAGTGAAGTCGTTTTTGATTTAAACAAAAATCTGTGCAGGTAATCAACCAACCACATATTTATGATCACTAAACATTGAACTACATAATAAATAATAAAACCCGTCTAAAATAGACTTATGTGAGGGGGAAACATGTATTTACACCAGCTTTAAATGTACCAGAATTGGCAAACAAAACTATAATGTTTCTAATGATGTGAACCGAACGGACCTGAACAATGTTCCAGTAGTCATTTAAATGGATCGAGTGGAATATTTACATTTTACTATATATATATTTTTTCAAATAACAAAAATAGCACCACACATTTGATTAAATAATTGCAGATATGAACATTAGTAGTAATCCATAATACACAGTTTATTCCATTTCTAGCTTAACTCTAGCAGGTGGATTGCATCTGTAATAACTCTGAAACAGTAATAACTGTTTCAGAGCTAGGAAGATTCTGGCTCCAAAAGTGTGATTGCATTTGAAGTGACTATTAGACCACTCAGACTGCATATATTACGTACATACTCGTTTTAATACACATTTGCTATATTAAAAAAAACCCTCCTTGTCTTATATATGGCTCCTTTAAATCAGTTTTTTGCTTCTGAAGTGAACCGGTGTGAACACGATCTTATTGTGAGTCCAAAACCAGGAGAAAGGAGAGTAATTCCTGTTGTGTCCATATAAATCAATGCTAGGGCATATTTTTAAATCAGTGTAATTTTCCCCTAACTGTCACACAATAGTTTGGCTCAATGTTGAAGTGGCTGCACATGTCAATGATCATGTGACTTTACCCTGTCCATTCATCTAAACTAAATCCCATTCACTCCCATTGTAGCGGCCAGTCATTCATGCTGCTCGTGTGCTACATGACTGCATACATGACTGCCCCTATGCACATCGAGCCATGCAGAAATAGCCCTAAAGAAAGTCTGTGTTTTTACACAGCGAATAAAAACATTGCTTCTAAAATTGGCCTCACACTGGCTAAATAAAACCACAAAAGTCATGCCACTTTTCGGCCAAGTCAAGCATGAGGGAAAGAGGTTATGATTTATTCACACATCCTTTATATATTCATAACTTTCTCTGTGCTCCAGTCCTACGATCACTGTGCCTCTTCGTCAGTTACACATGTTAGTAATATGCAAATTAGCAATCTAGGGAGCTCTGTTAGAAGTGATTATCATAAGTCGCCATGGGGTAGGTCATGCTTTGTACTGTGGGATAACAGGCCCCACTGCTACTACTCACCATTCTTTCCATTTGGCCGATAGAATAGGATTGGACATATGATGGGGTCATTAAAGAGACAGCCTGTAGTTCAGTTCAAGGTCTGCAGTAATGAGAAATATATGCTGGGATCTTCTAATCTGTATACAGTAGTTAAATCAGCACTGTGAATATTTGAACCCACAAAGCTAATGACTTATTACTTCAATATTCTTGCACTTGTGTATCACAGATTTATCTACAGATACACAGTGCCTTGCGAAAGTATTCGGCCCCCTTGAACCTTTCAACATTTCGCCACATTTCAGGCTTCAAACATAAAGATATACAATTTTAATTTTTTTCATGAATCAACAACAAGTGGGACACAATCGTGAAGTGGAACGAAATTTATTGGATAATTTAAACTTTTTTAACAAATAAAAAACTGAAAAGTGGGGCGTGCAATATTATTCGGCCCCTTTACTTTCAGTGCAGCAAACTCAGTCCAGAAGTTCAGTGAGGATCTTTGAATGATCCAATGTTGTCCTAAATGACTGATGATGATAAATAGAATGCACCTGTGTGTAATCAAGTCTCCGTATAAATGCACCTGCTCTTTGATAGTCTCAGGGTTCTGTTTAAAGCGCAGAGAGAACCATGAAGATAAAGGAACACACCAGGCAGGTCCGCGATACTATTGTGGAGAAGTTTAAAGTTGGATTTGGATACAAAAAGATTTCCCAAGTTTAAACATCTCAAGGAGCACTGTGCAAGCAATTATATTGAAATGGAAGGAGTATCAGACCACTGCAAATCTACCAAGACCCGGCCGTCCCTCCAAACTTTCATCTCAAACAAGGAGAAGACTGATCAGAGATGCAGACAAGAGGCCCATGATCACTTTGGATGAATTGCAGATAACTACAGCTGAGGTGGGAGAGTCTGTCCATAGGACAACAATCAGTCGTGCACTGCACAAATCTGGCCTTTATGGAAGAGTGGCAAGAAGAAAGCCATTTCTCAAAGATATCCATAAAAAGTCTCGTTTAAAGTTTGCCACAAGCCACCTGGGAGACACACCAAACATGTGGAAGAAGGTCCTCTGGTCAGATGAAACCAAAATCGAACTTTTTGGTCACAATGCAAAACGATATGTTTGGCGTAAAAGCAACACAGCTCATCACCCTGAACACACCATCCCCACTGTCAAACATGGTGGTGGCAGCATCATGCTTTGGGCCTGCTTTTCTTCAGCAGGGACAGGGAAGATGGCTAAAATTGATGGGAAGATGGATGGAGCCAAATACAGGAACATTCTGGAAGAAAACCTGTTGGAGTCTGCAAAAGACCTGAGACTGGGACGGAGATTTATCTTCCAACAGGACAATGATCCAAAACATAAAGCCAAATCTACAATGGAATGGTTCACAAATAGACGTATCCAGGTGTTAGAATGACCAAGTCAAAGTCCAGACCTGAATCCAATCGAGAATCTGTGGAAAGAGCTGAAGACTGCTGTTCACAAACGCTCTCCATCCAACCTCACTGAGCTTGAGCTGTTTTGCAAGGAAGAACGGGCAAGAATTCCAGTCTCTCAATATGCAAAACTGATAGAGACATACCCCAAGCGACTTGCAGCTGTAATTGCAGCAAAAGGTGGCGCTACAAAGTATTAGCGCAAGGGGGCCGAATAATATTGCATGCCCCACTTTTCAGTTTTTTATTTGTTACAAAAGTTTAAATTATCCAATACATTTCGTTCCACTTCACGATTGTGTCCCACTTGTTGTTGATTCTTGACAAAAAATTTAATTTTTTATATCTTTATGTTTGAAGTCTGAAATGTGGCGAAATGTTGAAAGGTTCAAGGGGGACGAATACTTTCGCAAGGCACTGTATATACAAGTATTTTTCTTTGCACTAGAGCAGGGGACTCCAACCTTTTCGACTGGAGAGCTACTTTTATGAAAACGGAAATGGCTCCTCCTTTTTTCCCCGTCATAATACAATTGTAGTCTATAATAAATCACGGAGAACACGTGCATAATATACCGTACAGTATCCCAGAATTAATGATACTGATATATGATATGATTCATAGATACTGTATGTTATGACTCAAAGGGGAATGATTCAGGATCATGTGTTAAATTCTTTGATCCTTTGGGTAGCTACCTGAAAGGGGCTGGTGAGCTACTGGGTGCTCCCGAGCCACAGGTTGGAGACCCCTGCACTACAGGTCTATACCTTATTTGAGGATACCTTTTGTTCTTTGTTTTTTCTTATTGAGCTAAAGATGGAGAGTATATTTTGTTTACATATAGGGTTGTGCTTTATTTAATATTCACTTATTTTGTGTTGTGTGCTCCCCATTCCTACCTCCGTAACTTTTGATGCAACACTGACATT